GAAATTGAAGCCCAGATGACAGTTTGTGGATTCCTATGTAATACAAGAAGAAAATAACAAAATGAGGACTAGAACCTTGTTTTCTTGATTTCTAATCTAGCCCCACAATTCTGAGGTCACTGAATTCTGGTACATATATAGCAACAAAAATTAAAGCAAACTTAAAAAAAAAATTCAGTTTTGAACTTGATGTGTAAAAGCGTTTGTTTCCAAAGTAAGGTTTTGTTTTTCTGCATCCAATCTTCGAAGATGAAGATGGGAATGGACATGGAAAGAAAGCTTTGGACATTATACAATACTATAATTTCTTTCTATTATTAGTCATTCTGGTTCAGGAAAAGGAAAGATAATGAAAATATTAACATTTGCAAAGCCTTTTACAGTTTTAAAAGCTTTTTTCACATATGATTTTCTTATTTTACAGTTGTTCCGTTCCATGATATAGGTTGTGGTGATATTTTGTTATTTTTATTAGTCTTTCACTGTTAAAGAAAAAATAGGCCTAATGAAAGTTGAGTAATTTGCCTGAGATAACATAGCTGATAAGTGTCAAAGCTGGCCTTCACAAAATTGAACTCAGATTTACCGTATTTTTCGGACCATAAGACGCACTTTTTCCCCCCCAGAAGTGGGGGGGAAAAGGTCCCTGCGTCTTATGGTCCAAATATAGCCTACACATACACTTAAAAAAAAAAGTTTTTTTACTTGTCCGGCTCTGTGTGGTCTCTGTGTGCTTGCCCGGCTCTAAAATGTTCTAAATGCTGCTGTTTACTTTACAGGGTTGATTACATGTGTTTATGACTGTGATGTTGGGTTTTAATGCACATAAAATACTTTAGGACACTATTTGTTTCAGAATCTTTTTTTCTTCATTTCCCTTTTCTAAAAACTGGTGTGTCTTATGGTCCGGAGCGTCTTATGGTCCGAAAAATACGGTATTTTTTTTCTTTCCACCCAAGCATAAGCTCTTATGATGTAGATTTACTTAGCTTTGTGGAAACCAATTTTGGGTGGGACAGCAATCAAGAAAACATTTGGAAGCCTAAAATTTCAGAGCAGAGTAGTTCAACAAGTAGATGGTATTAGGGACAGATGAAGCTCTGACCCTCCTGAGTGCAGGTCTAGCTGATGTCCTTCTGTTCCTATTCATATGAAGAGAGAAAGGGAAAATTGAGAAGAGATGATGAGTAGGCTATAATACAATTTATAGTAAGAACTTGCCAGCATTAACCAAAGAATCTATCTCTTAAAAATTCTTAAAATAATTTATGACTAATTTTATTTGATTCATTTAAAAATAAATATGAAACTTGAGCAAACCAATGATATTAATGTCTAGCTACTTTTTTAAAAAAATATTTTATTGATTTTGTACAGAGAGGAAGGGAGAGAGGTAGAAAGCTAGAAACATCGATGAGAGAGAGTCATCGATCAGCTGCCTCTTGCACACCCCCTACTGGGGATATGCCCGCAACCAAGGTACATGCCCTTAACTGGAATCGAACCCGGGTCCCTTCAGTCCCCAAGCCGACGCTCTATCCATTGAGCCAAACCGGTCTCGGCAATGTCTAGCTACTTGTCTATTATACATACCTAGAATTATGGATTAAGATTTCCTGATGCTACCTATATATAATTGGGTAGAAGAACTTGTAGCTTTTCTATCTTGTCTAGGATTTTTGTGTTTTATTGATGTAAAATTGTATTTTGCATCAGTGGATAGGGTGTTGGACTGCGGACTGAAGGGTCCTGGGTTTGATTCTGTTCAAGGGCACATGCCTGGGTTCGATCTCCAGAGGCATGCAGGAAGCAGCTGATTAGTGATCTTCTCTCATCATTGATGTTTTTGTCTCTCTCCCTCTCCCTTCCTTTCTGGAAAAAAAAAATTAGAAAAAAAGATCCCTGATCTCTGGGTTCAGAGGTAGACACTCAACTACTGTGCCATGTCGTCTGGGCTACATCCTGTAATCTTTTTTTAAAAATTATTTAAAAAATATATATTTTATTGATTTTTTACGGAGAGGAAGAAAGATGGATAGAGAGCTAGAAACATTGATGAGAGAGAAACATCGACCAGCTGCCTCCTGCACACCCCCTACCGGGGATGTGCCTGCAATCAATGTACATGCCCTTGACTGGAATCGAACCTGGGACCTTTCAGTCTGCAGACCAACTCTATCCACTGAGTCAAACCGGTTTCGGCAACATCCTGTACTCTTGAATCATTAGTGTATTGTGAAGAGTTGGATAGTTACAACTAAAATTTCCCTTTTAAAAATAAATCTTTATTCAGATTATTAAAATTGTTTCTGCTCCCCTCCACCCGGTCCTCACCGCACCCTCTGCCCTTAAACCCCCCCCCCCCCACCTCTTCATCCATAGGTATATGATTTTTGTCCAATCTCTTCCCATACCCCCCACACAGACACCCCTTTCCTCTTGAGAATTATCAATCCCCTCTCATTCTATGCCCCTGATTCTATTATATTCACCAGTTTATTCTGTTTCTCAGATTTTTAATTCACTTGACTTTTAGATTCACTTGTTGATAGGTATGTATTTGTTCAGAATTTTTATCTTTACTTTTTCCTTCTTTTTCCTCTTTTTAAAGAACATCTTTTAACATTTCATATAATACTGGTTTGGTGGTGATGTACTCCTTTAGCTTTTTCTGATCTGTGAAGCTCTTTATCTGCCCTTCAATTCTGAATGATAACTTTGCTGGATAGAGTACTCTTGGTTGTAGGTTCTTGCTATCCATCACTTTGAATATTTCTTGCCACTTCCCGTCTGGCATACATAGTTTCTGTTGAGAAATCAGCTGATAATTGTATGGGTACTGTCTTGTAGGTAACTGTTTTTCTCTTGCTGCTTGTAAGATTCTCTCTTTGTCTTTTGCTCTTTGCATTTTAATTGTGATGTGTCTTGGTGTGGTCCTCTTTGGATTCCTTTTGTTTGGGGTTCTGTGTGCTCCCTGGATGGGGGAAGTTTTCTGTCATTATTTCTTCAAATACGCTTTCAGTGTCTTGCTCTTTCTCTTCTTCTGGCACCCTCATAATTCTGATTTGGTACACTTGAAGTTGTCCCAGAGGCTTCTTACACTATCTTCAACTTTCTGGATTCTCTTCTCTTCTGGCTTCTCCAGAAGAGTGTCCTTTGCCTCTTAGTATTCCAAATCTTTGACTTGATTCTTGTGTTCTTCTAGTCTGCTGTTGGGTCTCTGTATAATACTTTTATTTTAGTCAGTGTATGCTTAATTTCCAGTTGGTCCTTTTTCATATCCTCGAAGGTCTTGTTAAATTTATCAGCCTTTTTAGGAAATTCTTGAAAAACCTTATAATCGTTGTTTTGAACTCTATATCTAATCTTTTGTTCTCCGTTTCTTTCGTTTGAGATATATTTCCTTTTCTCGGCATTTTTGCTGCTTCCCTGAATTGGTAGGGTAGGTTTGTGGGCCTGGGTGTCCTATATGGTTTAATGGGTCAGCCTCCCAGTTGCCTGATGTGGACACTCGTGGTACATCCCTTTGTGGACTGTGTGTACACCCTTGTTGTAGTTAAGTCTTGATTGTTGTTTGTGTCACCGGGAGAAATTGACCTCCAGGCCAATTGGCTGTGAGGACCCACTGAGTCTATAATGGAAGAATTGCTGTGCTGTAGACACGTTTATGGGGGAGGACTTGTTCCCGTAGGGCTTTGGTGCTCACTGAGTCTGTCTCTTGAATGTGTCCCTTATGAGAGTAGTTGAAATCTGGTGTTGTCTCACACCGACCACTAGATACACTAGTTTCTGGATCTCCAATGGGATGCAGTTCAGCTACTGTCTGAAGCCACCCAGCAGGAGCTATCGCAAGAACTACAGTTTTCTCCTCTTTGCTTGGGATTTGGCGGTTTTGGAGCTGGAGTTGCAGTTTATTTTGTTAAGCTACCACAATACAGGCCTTTTATATGCAAAAACAGCTGTGTGGAGCCTGGGTGGATTTGTAGAATGTGTGGGGCGGGACCTCAGGATGTCACTAGGCTGGGGCATGGCAAACAGTGATGGCTGCTGTCAACTGTCTGCCTTTCTGTGTTTCCAAGTCCCTGCGTTTCCAAGTCCCTGCATCCCTGCGTTCCAGCACAGTAAACAATGATTGCTGCGTACACCTCTGCAAAAAAGTCACCCTCACTTTTGGACCTGTTGGCTGGCAGACCAGCTTCTCCCCGTAGGCATCTGGGTCCCCTGTGTGACCCTAGAAACTGGATTTCAAAGTGATCGGGAGCTTGTTTCCCTTCGGGTTGAAAAAAAGCTGTGCCCAGTCACCTGCCACCAGCCAGTTTGCATGTTTCTGTAACTAGGCTTTTTAGCTTTTTAGCACTTGTGCTCCTTTCTTTCAGCCAGCTTTCCTGTGATTTTGGGTGATAGACGTTTTGTCTTTTAGTTGTAGTTTTGAAATTGTGCAAGGTGGCAGTTTAGGTGTTTACCTATGCCGCCATCTTGGTTTTCTCCATACAACTAAAAATTGTTTTTCTCCTAGTTACAATAGAGAATATAGAGAAATTTTGTAGGAGTTTTGGGTCTCAAACACATTGGGTACAGCAACTATATTGCCAGGATTTAATGTGGTCAATACAACTTAGGGCTCTTTATTTGTGGACATTTAGGATTACCCTCTGTGTTATTTTACCCAGTAATGTAGTGTAGTTGACTCTGTCGAAAGTCATGCCTTAAGCCGAAACCAGTTTGGCTCAATGGATAGAGCATCGGCTTGGGGACTGAAAGGTCCTGGGTTCGATTCTGGTCAAGGGCATGTACTCGGTTGTGGGCACATCCCCAGTAGGGGGTGTGCAAGAGGCAGCTGATCAATGACTCTCTCTCATCGATATTTCTAACTCTATCTCTCTCCCTTCCTCTCTGTACAAAATCAATAAAATATATATTTAAAAAGAAAAAAGAAAAAAAAGAAAAGAAAGTCATGCCTTAAGTATTGAAGTGCCTTTTTTGTTCTTGTGTATTTGTAGTGGTAGCCGCTCCTCTAAAACATTTAAACCAAAGAAGAACATACCAGAGGGTTCTCACCAGTATGAGCTCTTAAAGCATGCAGAAGCCACACTTGGCAGTGGCAATCTCCGGATGGCTGTCATGCTTCCTGAGGGAGAAGATCTCAATGAGTGGGTTGCAGTGAACAGTAAGTAGCCTTTCTGTTTCGCAGAAGATTCTAAATTAGGATATTAGCTTCATTATAGGTGAGTTTTGGGGTGCTGTCTATTCTGGAATCTAGTTAGCAACCTAATATCACAGTATAGTGATAGCTCAATGCACGTTAGCCTTTATGTTACCAGTATTTTATTTCTGAATATAGAGTTTTCTGAAATTCTAGTCTCCTGTTATAATGACACACAAAGCATAGATTTACCATCTTTAGTGGATAAAACAATAATCACAGCACTTAATATTTATGAAATACTAATTATGTTTCTGGCACTCTGCTATCATGTCTACATGGATTATTTTATTCATATTTGGAACCTCATGATATAGGTACTATTATTATTCCAATTTAAGACAGATAAGGAAGCAAAGACAAAGATTAGGAACCTGCCTAGGTCATGCAGCTATTAAGTGGCAGACTCTGGGTTCTACTATAGAACTATAGAATTTTAGAGTCTGCACTTTAAGCACTCTGCTAAATTGCCTGTTTCAGTAGCACATACTCAGTTATTTAAGTTAATGCTATTTCTTTTTAAAAAAAGACGTAACTAGTGATTCATGAAATTAATAAAATATCTTTATGAGATAGTCTTAGCACCAAGGAAGAAAAACATATAAATAAAAAGTAGATATATTCTTGGGAATTAAGCCAAAGAAAGTTGGAGAATAAAAGTGGTACTTTTAATATTTAGGGTTTTTCAGTATTAGTGAAGAAACTATTAGAATTTAGTAATTGGAGTAATTTATGTGAATCTAGCAAATAAAATGAAATTTAATTGAAAACATACCCTATATGTCAAGCTTTGATTAAGGAAAAAGTATTTTTCTTGTAATATGTGATGTTATTATAATTGAAATATATCATTGGATTTATAAATTGAGCATACACCCACTAATAACTTTTAGAAACTTAAAGGATTTTATTACTGAGGTGTCTAAAAATGTTACTGTGACAGCAGTTGCATACAAGTAGTATCTTCCTATATAATAAAGAGGTAATATGCAAATTGACCCTCTTGCCCTTATAAGATGGCTGCCTACATCCAGGTTGGCAGGGGGTTAGTGAGGGATGATCAAATGACTGAACAAGAAGGCTGCATGGGGTGACCAGGCTGGCGGGGAGTAGGGGTGGGGGGGAGGGGCAGTTGGGAGCAACAAGGCCGGCTGAGGGGGTCGTGATGGATCACCATTAGGACCAATTCCCCATGGCTCCATAGCCCCACCCACTTCTTGACGGGTCGTGATTGGGACACCATTAGGACCAATTAGCATATTATCTCTATATATGTGTGTGTGTGTGTGTGTGTGTGTGTGTATATATATGGATAGATAAAATGATGAAGGGAAAAAATCAACAGGGAATTAGAAAAATGTAAGCCATTTTTAATAGACTTGATTACTAGACTTGACCTGAGGGACATGTGGCCTAAGAACCTCGGATTACACATATGTGTATTTAAAAAAATTGAAATGATTAAAATGATAAAACACACAGTTTTTGACCATAGTAGATTTTAGTTAGAAATCAGTAACAAAAGCTAGGAAATCTTTATATGTTTAGAAAGAACACTGATAAATCTTGGTTCTGCTTAGTAAAATTAAATATTTTACTTATAAATGATATTTGCTTTGCAGCTGTGGATTTTTTCAATCAGATCAACATGCTTTATGGAACAATCACAGATTTCTGTACAGAGGAAAGTTGTCCAGTGATGTCAGCTGGCCCAAAGTAAGACATAGTTCATGATCAGTTCTCATTTTTACATCATTTTATAATTCATAAGATAAGATAGTTAATTTCTGTGCTTAGCATCCCTGGCTTAACGCTGAGTAATATAGTAAGTTCAGTAACTTTATGACCCTTCTTGTATTGCCCTTCATTCTGCCTTTCTTCTGTTAACTTACACATTTCCTTGGTCTATCCAGGGGTCCTCAAACTTTTTAAAGTGGGGGCCAGATCACAGTCCCTCAGAGAGCTGGAGGGCTGTACTATATGAACTACTAATTCCTACTGTAACACCTCGGCTGCGCTCACTGCCCAAAAAACCTGGCGGGCCGTAGTTTGAAGACCCCTGGATCCAGACAAGATTACAGAAGATGCCTTGCTTGCTATTCCCTCTACTAGTTATTCTCTGAAAACTTGTTCATTCCATTCTTCTCTTGGATATTTTGCTTTTCATCTCCCTCTTATCTTCTGCTAACATTTCCAAAAATCTTACCCATCTTCAAGGCCCATACAGGTAATTCCTTCTCCATGAAACCTTCTGATTTCAAAGTACTAAATGTGACCTTCCTATTTAACCTTTTTGTCGTTACAATTTTATTTCTTTGTTACATGATTATAGTAGTTGCCAGGTGCACGGATTCACCCACATTAAAAGAAAACTAATTAGAATAAATATTTTAATATCGCTATTCACCTTTCTCTATAATAGAAGTGTCAGAGATGAAAGAAAATTAGTAAAATCTATGAAAATAATATATAAATTGATTAATAAACAATAACAATGTGATATAACAACAAAGACCTGATATAAAACATGTTATAAAAACAACAAAAACATGATGTGAAAACAACATTAATAAAAACAATGACTGATAAGTTGACTAAGTATATTCTAATATCTCCCTGTATGACATATTAAGAGTAAAAACACTTTCAGAGTGCTTGACTAATTTCCCTTGTGATGAAGTATTTACAACTTTCACTTTAATGTCACAAGTTCTTCAAGCTCGAGAGAAAGCAACATGTAAATGACCATATCTGAAAACTGGTTCAGGTAGGAATATTCCTACTCTGTCTAGAGTTTGTCCTTGTGACTTATTAATAGTCATTGCAAATGCTGGCATCATAGGAAACTGTTTTCAAATTAATTTAAATGGGAGGCCAGTTTCAGATGGTGACAAATAAATTCTTGGAATCAGAACAACCTTTCCTTCCATTAATACTTCAGCTTCGATTATGTTCGAAATCTTTTGATAATAAATCTAGTACCATAACAAAGACCCTATTTACTATTAAGATTTCTCAGTAGCATGATGATTGCACCTACTTTCAATTTTAATTTATGACGTGGCATTCCTGGAGAAGTAATACTATTAAGAAATTCAATGGGAGCTTTATATGTATCACATATGTGCGAGTCAACGTTAATTTTTATTTATTTATTTATTTTTAATATACTTCATTGGTTTTTTACAGAGAGGAAGGGGGAGGGAGAGAGAGTTAGAAACATCTATGAGAAGAAACATCAGCTGCCTCCTGCACACTCCCTACTGGGGATGTGTTTGCAACCAAGTTACATGCCCTTGACTGGAACTGAACCTAGGACCCTTCAGTCCGCAGGCTGATGCTCTATCCACTGAGCCAAACCAGTTGTGCCTGCCATCTAGTTACCACTCAATAAATGTTGCTTTGATAAATAATTTTTTGAAACTTGCTTTTATTATGACTACTAGAGACCTGGTGCATGGATTCTTGCACTTATGGGATACCTCAGCCTGGCCCCTGGGGATCGGGCCGAAACTGGCTTTCTGAGAATCCCCCCAAGGAGTCCTGGATTTCAATGCAAGAGGGCAGTTCTTGGGTGATGCACCCAGAATTGGGCTTCCTCCTCTCTGATTCCAGGTACATCACCTGAGAACCACAGCTGCCGAGTCACTGCAGCTTAGCAACTCCTGTATTGATCCTCTGCCCCTGGTGGTCAGTGCGCACCATAGCTACTGGCCAGTTGGCCAGTCAGCCATTCGTTTAGGCTTTTATATACATAGATAGCTGATAATAACAATGTCAGCTACCATTTATTCAGTACTAACTAAAAGTAAGGCCTTTATACAGCAAACCTATAAAGTATGAAAACGATCATTATCCTCATTTTACAGGAAAATAAATTGAGTCTGAGAAAAGGTAAGTAAAATGTCCAAGGGTCCTGTTATTCAGAAACAGAACCAGGTCTCTGTCATCCAGGACTCTTTGACTCTAGTGTGCATATACTCTTAATTGCTACATTGTATTATTTTCTAATAAGAATATGAATTGATATTTATAAACTATATATAAAAAGGTTTTATTTTTAGTGTTGATTTTTTATAAAGTATGTTCTCTCCCCCCAATTATAAACAAAGTGTAAATATCAAAACAAAATAAAACAAAACAAAACAAAGTGTCCAAACTTACTAGTGTATAGAAATATTATCATTATCAGTAGTAACCTTAGATCGTTAATCACTTGTTGCGCTAATGTTTTCATTGCTCAGAATATTTTTGCTAACTTTTAATTCAGCCCCTAGGTGGCAGTGTTTCTGGTTTAACCTCCCAGTCTTTTTGGTTGCTCTGGCCTTCTTTCTCTATGGCTCTAGCTAACAGAGTGCCAGCTGGCTCCCAGACTATCTCTTCTGGCTATGATTCCCCGTTTCCAGGAGGGCAATTTTCCCCCTGCAATCCCCAGGATATGCCCAACTGGGCAGTCCTTCCCTAGTATTCAGAAGCAAGGGGGTGAAGGGGATCAGGCACCAAGGTGTCCAGATGTTTCGCCCTTGGTGGGACAGCCCCGATTCTTAACAATCTGTCCCGTGTCCCTTGGCGTTTTAAAAAAAGTCCCGCTTCTGGGGAAGATTACGCCAAACCCAGCACTGGGTGTCGCTGGGCAGGACTCTCGCTGCAGTGCAGCCTTCTTTGGGCGCAGCTCGGCGCAGGGGCTGGCGGGGGCTCCGCGGCTACAGTTGCTGCCTGCACTGCAGGGACCCAGAACCTTCACGCTATCCCCGCAAACTCTGACCTTTCCATGGGTGATTGAAGAACTCCCTTGAATCCACGGGTTTGCGCCGATTGGGGCGTCACAGCTGCTCGATGGACTCCTCTGCTGTGGGTTTTCCAGGCCTCAGAGAAGCTCCTCCTTTCCTGGTAAGATGGCACAGCCTTCCCTTTGAGCCCGTAGCTCTGGGAGAGGTCGCTGCCGCCGCAGTGCTGGTCGCTTGGTCAGGAAATCCTGTGCAGCGGACCCTCCCTTACCTTCCTTTAGAGTTCCTTAGCTGCCAATCAGTATTCCCTGAGCGACTCAGACACTGCTTTTATCTGTTCTAGGGCCAGGGTCAGAACAAGTCCGTCAGTTCGGTTGCCATCTTGTCTCCTCCTCCTCTATTTTTGCTAACTTTTAAATTATAGTGTCAGTCAGATCACTAGCTATCCAAGAGATTCAATTTTATTACTGCACTAGGGACCTGGTGCACGAAATTAGTGCACTGGGAAGGGGTCCCTCAGCCCAGCCTTCCCCCTCTCACATAGTGGGAGCGCTCAGGGGATGTCCTATGGATAGCGTAAGCCCGATCCTCATTGGGAGCGGACCTAAACTGTAGTCTGGCCTCCCTTTGAGGTGACCAGGCTGATCAGGGGAAGGCACCAGCCCCATCACCCTGCTGCTACAGCCAGGTATTTTCATCAACACGGACTCTAGTCCCTTCACCATGAAAAAATGACAACTTACTTTAAGCATTTTCAAGATGTGTCTTTCATAGGATATGACATTTCTTTCTTTATTTTTCTTTTTATCCTCACCTGAGGATATGTTTCCATTGATATGCTCCCTTTCCCTCCGATCTCAGGCTCAGCCCCTTCCTAAGCCTAAAGCCTCCACCCCAGGCTTTAGGCTTGGGAAGGGGACCCCTGCCCCTCCAATCGCAGGCTCTGCCTCTTCCCAAGCGTAAAGCCTCTATCTGATGGCTGGCTGGGAACAACCTGGGGCACCTGGACCCAGGTATGTATGCAAATTATCTGCCATCTTTGTTAGGTTAATTTACATACTCTGATTGACTGTGGGCATAGTGAAGGTACAGTTAATTTACATGTTTCTCTATTATTAAGTAAGATAGTAATAATTTATTTATTGACCAAATTCATATATTGAACAAAGTATTACCTAGAATGATCTACTTTCTTCCTCAAATTGACTCTAAATGAGTTTAGGTGTTTCTCAGAACCTAGTCCTTTAAAAAAAATTGATACTTTTGTCATGGTAAAACATGTTCAAAATAATATGCTTTGATTATTGTGGTAATTTTTTTGAAAAAAAATTTTCAAGCTTCAAACAATTTCAAATGTATATAGTAAAGTTGCCAGAACATCACAAAGAACTCCCATATCTTTTATCCAGATTCTTCAATTATTAAATTGCATGCTTCATCACTCCTCTTGATGTGTGTAGTCATTACACTAATTTTCTTCTGATTACACTCCTTTATGCCTACATGTTTAACTGTGTATTTTCTAAAAGCAGGAATACTCTTCTGTACAACTAGCATATAAGTTCTCTAAACCACTTCTTCCAGTTATAGATATCATTTACATTTCAGCAGCTATCTCAATAATATCTCAATTTTTCATTTCTACTCCAGGATCCTGTCTATGAATATGTATTGCATTTATTTGACATATCTCTTTAGGTGTCTTCAATCTGGAATAGTTCCTCAGTCTTTACTGTGCTAGTCTTTGTGCAGAAAAGAATTAATATAGTAGGCCTGACTGTAATCTCTTAAAAGGCCTAATTATTCTAATTACCTTATCATGTTAGTGTCTGCAAGGTTTTTTTTTTTGCCTCAAATTAGTCATTTTCTTCCCCTTTGCAATTAACTAACGTTTTATTGGGAGGTTTTCTAATATTACACCAATATCTCATTTCTGTGAATTAGGCAGAATTACTGCTACTTAGAAAACAGCTCTGATCATTTTCCCCACAGAAATTTTATCTAACTAGGTGGTATAGGAACAGTGTACCTAATTATTTAAAAGTAAGAGGTGCTCTAGCCAATTTTGCTCAGTGGATAGAGCCTTGGCCTGTGGACTAAAGGATCCTGCATTCAATTCTAGTCAAGGTCACATGCCCGATTGCTGCTGGATCCCTAGTAGGGAGTGTGCCGGAGGCAGCTGACCAATGATTCTCATCATTGATGTTTCCCTCTCCCCTCTCCCCTCTCCCCTCTCCCCTCTCCCCTCGTCTCTCCCCCTCCTTCCTGTCTGAAATCAATATATAAAAAAAGGCAAAGGAGCCGAAACCGGTTTGGCTCAATGGATAGAGCGTCGGATTGGGGACTGAAGGGTCCCAGGTTCGATTCCGGTCAAGGGCATGCACCTTGGTTGCGGGCATATCCCCAGTAGGGGCTGTGCAAGAGGCAACTGATTGATGACTCTCTCCCATTGATGTTTCTAACTCTCTATCTCTCTCCCTTCCTCTCTGTACAAAATCAATTAAAAAAAAAAAGGCAAAGGATCTCTATAAAGATACTACAGAAATGAAAAATGACCTCCCTCCCTCCCTCCTTTTCTCTATCCTTAACCCTAAGTTAAAAACCCCAAGTTGTAAAGAATTGTACTGCATAAGGAAAAATATTTTTGAAGAAAATAGCCATAGCCAAAACTGGTTTGGCTCAGTGGATGGAGCATCAGCCTGCGGACTGAAAGGTCCCAGGTTCTGTTCTAGTCAAGGGCATGTACCTTGGTTGCGGACCACATCCCCGATGGGAGGTGTGCAGGAAGCAGTTCATCGATGTTTCTCTCTCAACGATGTTTCCCTCTCCCTTTCTCTGTACAAAATCAATAAAATATATATTAAAAAAAAGAAAGAAAATAGTCATAAAAACATTAAGGATGGTCATCATAGAAGTGGGAAGGAAGTAAGCTAGGTTTTGTACTATGACAATGTATAATTCTAAAATTAAATTCTATATATGAAAGAAAGTTGTATAATAAAATTAAAACATGGGAGGAAAGCATTGAAACACAAAAAAAATGAGCTAACTGAAATCTGCTTAGTTTGGGTCATAATAAGTGCAAAAGAGTACAGTATCCATTTGAAAACATTAAATTAAAATGCCAAATATGGCCCTGGTTAGGTGTTGTCCTGATATTTGCCAAGGTTTCGGGTTCAATTCCTGGTCAGGACACATATAAGAATCAACCAATGAGTGCATAAATAAGTGGAACTACAAATCGATATTTCTCTCTCTCCCCCTCCTCTCTTTCTCTAAAATCAGTAATAAGTAAATGAATAAATGAATGCTAAATTCAAAAATCTTTATTTGGAGGAACATATTGTTTAAAATATGTCCTGTATTCATTCATGATGCACATACATGTGTCACATAAAAATATACATACTGTGTATGGGAATATACTAATATTGTTTGCTTTTAAATCTTTCTAATACAGATATGAGTATCATTGGGCAGATGGAACAAACATAAAGAAGCCTATTAAGTGCTCCGCACCAAAATATATTGATTACTTGATGACTTGGGTTCAGGACCAGTTGGATGATGAGACATTATTTCCTTCAAAAATAGGTATAATTGTTTTGTATAATTGGAATTGATCATGATTTACCTAATTTTATGTTTCTAGAATTTATTTTCTCTCTATTCCAGGAACCATATTTATAAAAATATTTCTAATCTTATATATTTAAAAGCATCCTGTCTTTTTCATACCAATTTATCATTATCATTAAGATAAAGCTTATATTTTAATCAGTGAAAAATCAGTGTACCTCAAACAGTAACAAAATCTGGCCTATGTTACAGGGTAAAAAAGAGACTGTTTATTGGATTGGCAGCCAATATCATCTGCAACAGTCATATCCATTTTTTGTTTAGGGAAAGAGCTTGTATGTCGTATATCCAGTTTTACATTATATTTTTGGCAAAGAGGGAGTTTTAATTTATGACTAATGGTGTGAATTTCACAGACTGAAATCAAACTAGGGGAGAAGAAAAGATTTGAAGGGTTGGCTGGTTAGTAACTGACTTTTGTATTTTCATATTTAAAAAAAATTGATTCTAAGGGAGAGAAACATTTATTTGGTGTTTCACTTATTTATGCATTCATTGATTGTTTCTTATGTGTGCCCTTGTATGAGTTTGCTGGGATCTGCTTAGTTTGGGACGTAATAAGTGCAAAAGTCCAGTAACCAGGTTTGGAGTTCAAATCTAAAACCTTTGCTTATGGGACGACGCTCTAACTAAGCTATTCGGCCAGTGCCTTTCATATTTGTTCTTAAGGGTCAGCCTTTGAAATTTTTCACAGTTAAGGACAGTTCACAGGATTTTACCTTCTCAAACTTCTTACAACAGTGTTTTCTGAAAATATTAAGAATTTGTTCTTCTAGCAAATTCTAGCAATAAATAACTTTTTGGCTATATTTTATTTTTGGACAGTTAGGTATGGAGGAGGACAGACAGTAATATAAATAGTTATTATTATGGATTGTTTTAAACACATTCCATGATTTTACTACTTTGGGGCATTTGTAATTAAAGGTCTATTTTTTGAGGCTGCTTTATATATATATCATAATGGTTTTGGGTAAGGGCCCTCACCTTATCTTTTATCTGCTGTATATATAGGGTGGGACAAAAGGGTGTGTGTGTGTCTATATATATATGTATATATATATATATATATATGTATATATATATATACTATATATATATATATATAGTTGTATGTGAAATACAGAGATTGCAGTTGTTTTTCAGGATAAATGTAGACCTGGAGTAGTAATGAAATAATTCCCATAGAAAATATTTTAAAAATATAATTTAAAATGCAAGCATTTTAAACAAACATGATTAATATATTATTTGTGTCCAGCATATCTATACTAATAAAAGCCTAGGTGGCCCTCATGCTTTTGCTCGATGCCCTCACATCATCACAAGATAGCCGCTTCCATGTCGTCACAATATGGCTACCTCCATGTCATCACAAGATGGCCAGCATGGGAGGGCATTTGGGGGAGATCAGGCAGGCAGGGGAGGACAGTTGGGGATGACCAGGCTGGCAGGAGAGGGCAGTGGGGGCGATCAGACTGGCAGGGGAGGGCAGTTGGGGATGACTAGGCTGGCAGGAGAGGGCAGATGGAGGTGACAAGGCATGCAGGGGAGAGCAATTGGGCAGGATCTGTCCTGCAGGGGAGGGCATTTAGGGGCAATCAGGCCAGTAGGGGAGGGCAATTAGGGGCTATTGGGCTGGCAGGGGACGGCAGTTGGGGGTGATCAGGCCAGCAGGGGAGCAGTTAGGGGGTGATTAGATTGATAAGTAGAAGTGATTAGGAGCAATCAGGCAGGGAGGCAAGTGGTTAGGAGCCAGCACTCCTGGATTGTGAGAGGGATGTCTGACTGACGGTTTAGTTGCGCCTAAATCAGCAGTTGGACATCCCCTGAGGGATTCCAGATTGGAGATGGTGCAGGTTGGGCTGAGGGACCCCCCTCCCCCCCCCCCCCAGTGCATGAATTTCATGCACCAGGCCTCTAGTATTTGTATAAAGAAATAATGTTACAAAATCTGAGGATCTCAGTGTGAATTTTAGCTCCATTACCATCCTAGGCATCCATTTTGTTTCATTTTAGTAGTGTCGGAGGCGTAAAGGGCTATACTGAAAATTAGTTCGTGTTCCATAGAAACTTTGAAGTTTATTTTCATTCATGATATGATGAAGACTTCTGAAAAGTACTGTAGGTGTATTAAGTAGTAATTCATAAATCCTTCTAAATGGCAACATAAATTGCCTTGTCTTGGCAATTTATGTTGCCATTTGTTAAACTCATATTGCCTTGTTCCTATCCCTTTTTAATAAATTGGATTGTTTATTTATTAGGTGTCCCATTCCCTAAGAACTTCATGTCTGTGGCAAAAACTATACTCAAACGCCTCTTCAGGGTTTATGCTCACATTTATCATCAGCATTTTGACCCTGTGATCCAGCTTCAGGAGGAAGCACATCTGAATACATCTTTTAAGCACTTTATCTTTTTTGTCCAGGTAAGTTGAATTAGGAGGACGTTTTTGTTCAGTAAATTAGTTATCTACAGAGTTCTGAGGTGAATACTGCATTCATAGGATAAAAATTTGCCCTAATTTCTCTAGTTTTCCTCTTCTATACTTGCCATGATGATAAGGACTGGTCTTTTGTTTCTGAATTTCATTTATCTCTAAGCAGCCACATGCAAGTCATGCAAGTCTAAATAAAATGGCTCTGAGAATTCTTCCTTGGATTTGCTTCAGTTAATGGGCTAATATGGAGGAGCCGAATAAGGAACCTGGCTAGTTTGGCAGATTGATTGATGAACTTGATCTCTTGAACTTTTTAACATTCCTCCTATTCCTCTTAACCCTCAAATCCAGGCTACTTTGGAACTTTTTTTTTTTTTTTTTTTTTTTTTTTTTTTTAAGAGAGGAGGAGAGAGGGAGAGAGAATTAGAAACATTGATGAGAGAGAAACATCGACCAGTTGCTTCCTGCACACCCCCTACCAGCGATGTGCCCGCAACCAATGTACATGCCTTGACCGGAATCGAACCTGGACCTTTCAGTCCGCAGACCAAGGCTCTACCCATTGAGCCAAACCGATTTTGGCCTTTGGAACGTTTTTAGCATCCTCTGTCCTAGAAATGAGCTTTGAATATCACACCTTTTTTCCCTTTTTTATTTTTAAATATTCTGAATAATTTTTAAGTTAGGTACTGTCCATTATGTCCAAGGGGGAAATCTGTGTTACTATTCCAAAAGATTCATTAGTCTTTGATCTGATTCTTTAGTTGTCATTCTTTTCCTAATCTTTTTAGTTCTCAGATAACTAGATTTACAGATGAGATTAAGAGGAGTGAAGATAGTCCAACCCTTGCTATAACATTGGAGAACTAACAGCTAGGAGTGAAAAATAGATGGAAAAGAAGCTGACCAGCTTTTCATTAGTGGAGATTGAGAGGGGTTCATGGTAAGCAGGGGACGTCTAAGGCTTTGATCGGTGTTGCTTTTATATATCTTTGGGTATATATACTTATAAATGCCTTCCCTATGATCCATCTCCACTAAAGAAAAATGTGTCTGTTTTCTCTCTATACACACTCTTCACACTGAATGCACACATTTTGTGTCTCAGTTTTACCTAAACACTTCTAAGAGATAGTAACATGCCGAAACAGTAGCTTTGAGCAGTTACCTCACTATGGTATTCCATCTACAGATTTCCAGAGAACCAAAGAACATGTTATCCTAAAGTTTGCATCTGTGCTTTGGTTTAGACAGACATGATTGCAAAAGTTCAGGTTTTAGTAGTTTAGGCAAGAATATTCCTCCACCAGAAGAGTTAATTTTTACCTTACTGTATGATCTTAAAATATACTGTGTCTCCCAAGTCTTAGCAAATAATAGGGTATAGATTAATGATGTTTACTACATCTGAATCTGTTGTTTACATCTTAGGACCTGCTTAAAGGTGGGTCCATTATACAGTATCAGCCCTTGAAGGAGAGTAAGCCCTTGGCCTCAAAATTTAGAAAATCCTGCTCTGCCCCTTCTCCAGTTTTACTCCTCCCCATAGAGTGAGGAAACCACAGGACAAACAACATACTTACATTCCTCTGGTGTGTGCTTCTACCTCAGAATTTCCTGTCCAGATAGTCCCAAGAGTATTTCTAAGGTTTGCATAGATCTTTTCCTTGGGTCTGTTCTTTTGAGGGAAGGTCTTATCTCTGATTTGTATACCTCTAGACCTAAGAGGTAGCCAGTTAACGGCTGTTGATGAGGGTGTGTGGCATCCTCTATAATAAAAGAAATATGCAAATTGACTGTCACTCCAGCATATAAGATGGCTGCCACAAGATGGCCAGCAGGGGAGGGCAGTTATGGGCAATCCGGCCGGCAGAGGAGGGCAGTTTGGGGTGACCAGGCCTGCAGGGGAGGGCAGTTGGGAGAGACCAAGCCTGCAGGGGAGGGCAGTTAGGGGTGATCAGGTTGGCAGAGGAGGGCAATTGGGGGAGATCAGGCCAGTAGGGGAATGCAGTTGGGGGGGATCAGGCCTGCAGGGGAGGGCAGTTGGGGGGAACCAAGGCCTTCAGGGGAGGGCAGTTGGGGGCAACCAGGCTGGCAAGGGAGGGCAGTTAGGGGCAATTGGGCTGGCAGGGGAGCAGTTAGGCGTCAATCAGGCTGGCAGGGGAGTGGTTAGGGGGTGATCAGGCTGGCAGCCAGAAGCAGTTAGGGGCATTTAGGCCGGCAGGAGGCGAGTGATTGGGAGCCAGCAGTCCTGGATTGCGAAAGGGATGCAAGGAGTCCCAGATTGGAGAGGGTGCAGGCTGGGCTGAGGGACGCGCGCGCGCCCCCCCCCCCCCCCCGCTCCTGTGCACAAATTTTGTGCACCGGGCCTCTGGTTGCTTGTATAAGCAGACAGAGTGTCCACATTATGCATGTGGAGCCCTTTCAAGAGCAGGATGGAGCTGGTGGTGGGAAGATCAGCAAGGTTTGCTGAGGGTCAAGGGCTGGCTCTACTTTCCAGTGCAGAATTCTGAGGAGTCTTGAGAATTTTAAATTTGAATCTGCGCTCCTGGTCAATATGAAGGTATATTTTGTGAAGGTAGAAGAACAGAACATGTTTTATTTATCAGTATATTAGATTAATGTAAAATTTAATTAGTCATGCAGTATCTGTATGTGTGTGTGTATTTGTGTTCTTGGTTCAGACCCCACAGATCTTACTAGTAGTGATAGGCTTGCAGTTAAATGCCCCCTAATGACTCTCCCCAGTACATTCTGCAGTGCTTTGCAGGTGATGGATGTTAATAAATCAATGAAAAAAAAAATAAATGAATGAAATTAGGAGTGTAGAATGCATCACTATGGCAGAATATTGGAAGTATGACAGCTTCTATTTATTATAGTTCAGGGATATCTATTCAGAGTTTTACTTCAGAATGACACATCTCATGATAGCTTATAAATAAGTTAGTTTATAACAAACTAATTATTTTGGTCTGAAATTTGCCTGAGATGGTAGCTATTTTGGTCTCAACTTGGTTGACTATATCTAAATGGTGCTCAGGTTATTCCTTTTAACAAGGAGCAGCAATTCCCAGTTATTGAGTGTTTACCTTGGGCCAAGAATTACTTGAAGTGGTTAATTTACAGTATCACATTTAGACTCCACAATAATTTTATGAGGTAGGAGGATTTATCTTATGTAAAGCAATATCAGAAGTGGTTAAGTGATTTGTCTAAGACAGTGAGGGAATAGAAACTTAAAACAAGAGATTTGACTTTTATTTACTTTAAAAGCTAATTTCTAATAAGTGTTAATGGAAATCTGTTTTGGAGTGAAATGTAAATAATAAGTCTTTGTTATTTCTTCTGCCTTTCTTTGTCATGCATAGGAATTCAACCTGGTTGATAGAAGAGAACTTGCACCACTCCAAGAACTGATTGAAAAACTCACCTCAAAGGACAGATAAGGGATGCAGAACTGTGCAAACTGTTCCTCTTGAAGTTGTGTGGAGTGTATTTGGATTTCATTTTATTTTATTTTTGTCTAGGTGTGTCTTGGGTTTGGGGGGCTTATTTGGGTTCTTTTTTCTTCTGAATAAAAGAAACCATATTCTATTGCTATAGGAAGCCAACAACCATACTCTGTACATTTGATAGGCGTAAATTTTGTCTTAGTGGCATTTTTTTTTTCAACTTGATTACTTGTGGAATTTTTTATAATGTTGTAGGTTGAAAAAGAATGCTTATTGATTGGGCTGCTCATGGATGGGATTCTACGTTGTGTAAATTGTGGCTGATTTTTTAAGTCCCCAAAAGACTTACATTTTAAGTGCCTTGGCAGGCTCACTTCTGAGGTGCAAAGCACATAGAACCAAACAGGGCTTGAAACAATATTAGGATTATTACCCAGAGCACTTACTGATGCATGTTTTAAAATATCTATGATAAAAGCCATAGTTTACCTGAATTGATGATCTCTAGCTTTTACTACATCAAAGAAACACAATTTGTAAAGGTGTGCATGTAGAGCATAAAAATTAGTATTTCTTAATTATTTTTCATATTGATGGTAATTCTGTTCAACAGATGCTTAAAGGTCCACAAGCAGGTTTTTTTTCCATCTCTTATATCTGTGATATTGAAACTTGAGGATGTTGAAATGCAATATCTATTGCATTTTGGCTTCTTTCTACATGTTAACTGCATTGTAGGTGTGACTTCAGGTTTATGCACAGGTTTGCCATCTTCATGGGTGATGCTGAACTGTGAGGTTTCTTAGCAATTGCCAAATGAGCCATAAGTCTGCAGAATCTCCTACTTTGAAGAAGCGGTGATAGGAGTGTGTGTTCTGTTGTGGGGGATTAGCTTGTATAAGGAGTTAAAGATGGAATTAACTATGGAGAGTCAAGTTCAAGAAGGTCCTGTCTTAAAATCCTTGAATAGAATGGCATGAAGATTTTAATCAATTTCTTGTAAGCAGAGTCTCAGAGACTTCTTTTTAGGAATCAACTTCCATAGAGAAGTTAAAAGTAAATTATTAATTTTAGGTATAGAAATTAAATAAGGAATAAAGAACTATTTGGAAACATTGACCACTTTCCAGCACTTCCATTCAGTGAATGGAGCTGGTGTTTGCCTGTCATTTTAAATGATAACAGTACATTCTTTGCTTATTATAGGCTCAATTTGAAGCATTCTGACATCTGATTTTACACTGTGAAAGGAAATATTTTACTTTGCAGTGATATTAAACAATGAAACTGCTAAGTCAGAGATTACTAACTTCTACATTTTAGTTTCTTTGACTTAATGAATTATTCCCATAAGTTCTGAAAATTGATTTTTAAAATAAATATTAACATTTTTAATTTTCACTTCATTTTTATTCTTGAGATATATTCTTTTTAGACTTTGTTTTAATTTTCTCATTTCCAGTAAATCTGTTCCTTCAGTTTGAAACATATACTTTTTTTTTTTTTTTTTTTTAGTTAGAAATATATACCCTTTTCCTTGTAGAATAGAAATCTTGCTCTGAAATTTTATAAACTAAAATTACTTAGAATCTAAAATGAAATCAGTTAGGTTTTGCTCTTAACAAGTAGAGCAGTGTTACAGTTTAATTACATTATAATTATGATCACTAGGAACTGCCTTTTTCTCCATTTCAATTACAGCCATCATTTTCAAGTACCAACCATAGAAATATCAGGAAAGCCTGGCAGAGATATATTCGACATACATTGGTAATGCTTAGTTATAAATTACAGTGAGAACTAGCTGATATTCTTAAAATAAATCTTTTAATATCCAGATCTTTTAGCAGTCATTATGGGTAGATTCAGAAGTAAGATTTGGCATCAACTGATTTGGGGTTCTATCTATTTGGGAAAATGAAGCACATAATTACTCACGTAGTCTTCCATACTGCATTTGTCTTCATGTCAACCTAGTTACAAAGAGGTTGCAATAGCCAAATGTAGAGAGTATAGTGAAAAATTGTTCTTTCTCTTTTAAGCCTTATACAGTAATATACTGTAAATGGAAAAATGTTTCCATCAATGAATGTTTAGTAATAGGAACTACTTTCCCACTGTATGTATATAAGAGTTTGTCGTCACTGTGCCAGAATCTCAGGTGCCTGCCTCTGAGTATTCCTGTAGACAAGGAGTTATGTATGTGTATATATGGTAACAACGTAGAGGGGTTCTCCCAGAGGCCTGGCTTTGTGCGTGGTGTTACATGGCTATGAGTAGGGAAACATTCACGAGAGCATGTGAAAAATAACTAATTTAATAAAAAATTGTTTGATTCGGTTAGTCCCCATGAACCCTTTATAAAATAAGGATCACATCTTGGCTTTGCAGCAGAACTTGTTTTAAATGTCTATTGAATTCTTTCCAGATCTCTTTATTAAATTTATAAATAACCAAGGTAAAGATTTCCCCCCTGTTCTTTATATGGAAAGGTAGAACAGAAGTTGGTTTTCCGGTCTTCTGATAAAAGTGTAAAATATAAAATAGTAAATTTACATAGTATTATTTTCACAATGCTTTGGTTAAATATTGATATCAAGCAAGTTTTAGGAATTACTTTAAATGATGGAGTGCTGGCGTTGGAGAGAACTTAATTACAAAGTGTGAAAATCTTGTAGTTAGCAGTAGATGGTGCTACTGGCTTTCATTTTGCTTTCTTGATTATTCTGTTTCCCATAAAAACCCATTGTATTAAACTGCACTGAAACAGTAAACATTTTGTTAGTTAGCAGGTAGAAGCTTTGGAAGTCAGTTTACCTTAACTTGAAAGATTTTAGATTGCTATTGCTTTTTACCTTTGTCATCTGTAAATTCTAAATGATCAGCATAAAATGTATTTGATAGGAGATGACATGTGTATAACATATCACAGACTGAGTTACTGCCTGTTTTATCAGCAGAGATAAAGCACTACAATCGCTTTTATTCAGGAAGTACAGATGATGTGGATATTTATATTTTACATGTAATCATCAGACTCCATTTTATGTATTAGCATTTTCCTTCCTTACAGGAAAATAGCACAATGACAGATTTCTTTTATATCTTTGTCTACCCCTCTCTGAGAGAGGTTTTGATAACCACTGAAATGGTAAAATAGGTGAGATGCAATTGCTAAGTTGTAGGACTTGCTTTTAAAAAAATATGTTGTTCCTTAAACATCCAAATGAGAGTTGATCTTCAGGGTGGTTCCTTTTGGAGCACTACTTATTCCAGCTATGCTGCAAAGGCGTAAAGTTTTTGGAATGCCCTAAAAGAAGCCTTGAGAATCAGTGTATGACTATGCAAGATAATCTGTTTCATTATTTTAGTTGCACCAAAACCTCTTTTTTTTTTTGCAACTTAATATGACTATTTCATTCACCAAACCAACTCTGCTTCGCTGTTTTCTTAGAACTAAACCGTGAAGGAAGTTCAAAAGAATGTACCACAGGTTCTGAAATTTGCAGAAGAGAGTGTTTTGAACATAGGTAGCATCATATAATAAAGGAATCATTTCCTGATGTCACTACTTTGAAGTATACAGTATAATTTGGATATATAGGATTTATTTTTTTAATTTAGTTTAATTGTCTTATAGTTAAGTCTTTATCTTGTTTTCTATTTTTTTCCTTTCCCTGATAACTCTTGAATTCAATCTTGACTACTGTAAAATAGTTTTGATTTAAGGGATAGTGAGAAAAACATGGATCCAATATTTAAGATAGTAGTAGCCTAAGGAAACAATAGCTTTTACCTCAGTTTCTTTTTTTTGAAAACCATTTTCACTCAGATGAACAACATGAATTTAGACTAGAGATCATCTTACAAAAAAATTGGAATAAATTTTATATATTAATTAGGCTGACTTTTAAGCTTACATATTACAGATAAAATACTTAAAATTGCATAACCATTTCATATATCATTTATAAATGTAAAATTATGAATGTCTTTTTAACAGATATGGGACCTGAAGTCTATTTCTAATTTGAAAATGAGTCTGCATACCAAGAGAAAACTTTACTTATTTAGAAACTTATCTGGGATGTTAAAGACTATATCAATTCTTTGAAATCCTATTCTACATCTACATTTTAAGGATCATTTCTAAAATAATTTCAATATTAGAATTTTGTCATAATGTTAAGAACATTCATCATAGGAATTACTGTTGTTCAGCTGCTAGTTTAATGGTATATGAGATAAATGTTTAGAGGTAAAACTATCTCAAGTTTAAATGAAAAATTTTAATTTTAAGATATAACAATTCTGAATGCAGACAATTTGAATTTTTAGGGTTTTTCTAGTGAGCTAATCATATGGAAGAATTCATTTTGAAGATATAAAACTGTGCTCCCTGTCTGCTACTTGTAGCTAAATTGATATAGAATTGTGACAAAAGATAGTACAGTTAAAAGATTGAGTATTCAATTTTGCTAGTGCAAATTTCTTTTTCTACATGTAATACTACACGTAGATAACTTCGGATTACAGTTCTCCTATACAGATAGTGAAATCACTGGCCTTTTGCAGTTGACATCCCCCTCTCTTTGAAGGTAAATTACTTCCTTTACTGCTATTGACTTACCATATCTCCTATCCCCCAAAACACACCACTTGGAAAACAAGTCTATTGTTCAAGTCCTCATTAGTGCTTCTGAGGTACTTGTTGTCAACATGTAGGCTTCAGCTGATGTGTTGAAAAAATGCACTTACATAGACATTCTTGTATTTTTGGCTGATAGCTTTCTTTAAATATGTCACTGAAGCTGAGATCATTAGCGATAAAATTAAACATTTTTGTTAATATTTAATTTCTCATATATTATTATTTTTATGTGTGGGTGTTTCTTACTGGTTTGCACATGTTTTCCTTTTTACTTTGTTTCTGAAATAGTTAATACTGTATAGGTTGTAAAGTAGATTACATTTTCATTTTAAGGATACTTTTCTCAAATTGTTCTGCTGAGATAACTATTTTTAGGGGAAATAGTTTTTTAAAGCAACTAAATTGTATTTGTTATTTTTGTACATGCATGACTAGGGTGCTGAGGGCACTAATGTGGGAAGATACTTAACTTTTGTCCTAGTTGAACTTTTCTTATACATTATTACTTAAAATTATCTAGAAACAGTGTCATAAAATCTAGGTTGAGGGAGAATACAGTGTACATGAGACAGTTAAAGTCTGAATAGAAATTATTTATGGGCCAAAAGCAGGATAATACTGTCAGTGCCATATAATGGAAGCATAGGGGCAGCATTCACATTGCACAAGTATTTCTGAGAATGTGTAAAAACAGGGATTCGGCTCTATTGGAGATAGACAGTTTCTCTATTATAGAGGCTGGAAGAGGAAAAATGATCTAAAATATGAAATGTAATATCGACGCTATGTTGTAAACTGTGCCAAGATTACTCAAATTGTAGTTATTGTTGGTCAAAGTTTAACTGCTTTATCATTTTTATTTTAAAAGAGGATACTGAATGTCAGAAAATCCGTAATATGTTTTAGTTGAGAGATGTAAATAATGTATACAGACTTGTATGTGATGGGATTGGAAGAAATATTTAAATTCTAGGTTTTTTTAAAGGAATGTTTATTACACAAATAAATAAATAGTTATGTTTGGCCATGAATCCTGACTTTGTGTTAATGTTTATTTTTGCTATCGATATTCCCCTGCTGAACACATTCCTACAGAAATATTGAAGGTATTTGGAGTATGTTGACATTTAAAATTTGTTAGGCATTATTTTTTATGTTTACAACAACCCTCGAAATTTACAGTATCTTAGTCTTACAAATTAGGAAACTAAAGCTCAGAAATTGTATAAGTCACTAACTAGGGTTTTAAAACCCAAATACTCACTGACCTTGAAGCCAACACTTTTGCTTGCTTTTTTTAAATACACAGTAGTCTCCTCTTGGATTTTCCATTTAATATTTTCAGACTGCAGTTAACCATGGGTAACCAGAAAGAATTAGTAAGTTGTAAATTGCAACTATTTTGAGTAGAATGATGAAATCATGTGCCATCCTGCTTCATCCTACCCCGTCCTGCCCAGGATGTGAATCATCATTGTCCAGCGTGTCCATTCTGTTTCATTCCAGTCCATTAGTTGCTTATTAGCTTTGTCGGTTATCAAATCAACTGTGGAGGTATGGAGTGCTTGTGTTCAAGTAATCCTTACTTTGCTTAATAATGGCCCCAAAGCACAAGAGTAGTGCTGCTTGGCAGTTCAGGAATGTCAAAGAGAAGCCGTAAAGTGTATGTATGAATAGGAAAAATCATAGTATATGTAAGGTTATATGTAATTTGAGGTTTCAGGCATCGACAGAGGATTTTGCAACATATCCTCCCTGTGAATAAGGTAGGACTGCTGAACTATTACCATGAGAACAGTTAGCAAAATATTTTTACCTTCATCAAATTTTGTCTTCATAATAGACCATTAAAGAATGAACACTGTGCCTGGCCTGTGGCTCGGTTGGAGTGTCATCCAGTATACTGGAAGATGGCAGGTTCTATCCCTGGCTGGGTCCTCCCCCCGCCCCCCCTTCTCTCTTTCTCTCTCTCCTTCTCTAAAATCTATTTAAAAAAGAAAAAAGAATGAACAGTATTAGAGAATCTTCATTTTACCCTGATTTCTAAGTTCCAAAAGGAAATGTGTACTTTAGAGTATTTTCTGAGAGTCATTATTTTAGAGGTATTTATTTTTAGAGGCATTGTGTTTGGGCTGTCAGGTTGAAAATATTTTGATGGTAATAGCCACAGATGCCTAATGTCACTAATTGGTATTTGAACAAAAGCCTGGAAGTAGAAATGTTAGTTCACACTGATGTGGACTGTCTCCAGATTTTTTGTTTTGTTTTGTTTTATCTCCAGGTTTTAATAAAAACAACTTGTTATTCTGCACATATAATATGTACAAAACTTTTTTGTATAAAGAAATACTTAAAAAAATTTACTACATTTTGATAGGTTCATTTGTCTCTCTTGTAGTAAATTTAAATATTGTTAAATATTTTAAACAATATTGTTAAATAATATTGTCTGGAATAATGCATTTTGATAACACAAAGTTCTAAATAATTATTCCTTTAAGGCTTAACCATATTTAATGCTTTACACTCTTGTTTTAAACTGCATAATGAATACAGTGTCACATTTTTTTGATTACCTAGAAATTAACTTTACAAGTATGCAGCAAAATATAGCTTCTTTTTCTGAGGAGCTGTGTAGGGCTGATGGCTGGCTCCTACAGGGCCCTCCTGGTGTGTTCTTTTGACATCAAACTGGAAGCACTAACTCTCCACCCTTACTTTTATGATGGCTTCTACATTCTTCTGTTTTCTAGTCAGTAATGAGGGGAGGTTGCAGGAGAAATTTATAACCAAGCTCATTAAGTTGAGAGACATTATTTTAAAAAGTTGGGTTGGTATACACAAATGTGTAACTACTTAATGGCCCATTATTTTTTCTGCCTTTTTTCTCATTTTTTGAGTTGGTTTAGAGTTTTCTTGATAAACTTGTATATCATCAGTCAGGACCCTGTCTCATTGAGCAGCATTTCCACAGGAGAAAAGGAATTCCCAAATTGAAGGACTAGTAAAATTTCTGGCAAGAAATTGTTATGGTAATAGCATGCTCACAACTGGCCGGATGTTCCAATCCCTTGTCTTTCTTTTTCTTAAAAAAAAAAAAAAAAAAAAAATATATATATATATATACACACACACACACACATATATATATATATATATATATATATATATATATATATATATATTGATTTCTGAGAGGAATGGTGAAGGAGAGAGAGAAACATCAACGATGAGAAAGAATCATTGATTGGCTGTCTCCTGCACTCTCCTTTTGGGGATCGAACCCAGAACCTGGTCATGTGCCCTTGACCAGAATCGAACTGGGGACTCTTAAGTCCTCAGGCCAACGGTCTATCCACCCAGGGAAACTGGCTAGGGCCAATCCCGTGTCTTCTATCTGCAATTCCAAAATCTGAAAAGTTCAGAAAACGAAGTATTTTATTGGTTCAGTGCGAACTTAACCTGATCTTCAGTGTCACTGCCAAATATTAGTGTATTTAATACTTATGCTGGTGGTTTAGGTAGAGTGACATAATGTGTATAGAATATGACTATTTCTTTTCTAAAGTCCAAAAATTTTGAATTGTGAAACAGATCTGGCTACATTGCTTTCAGATAAGGGGTTGTGGACAAAAATCAGGAAGGCACTTTTAAAAGTGCACTTTGCGTTGGCCTGTGGACTGAAGGGTCCCAGGTTCGATTCCGGTCAAGGGCATGTACCTTGGTTGCGGGCACATCCCCAGTGGGGGGGTGTGCAGGAGGCAGCTGATCAATCTTTTTCTCTCATTGATGTCTCTGACTATCCCTCTCCATTCCTCTCTGTAAAAAAAAAAAAAAAAAAAAAAAAAAAAAATCAATAAAACATATTAAAAAAATAAAAATAAAAGCGTGCTCTGGTCTCCTTGAATTATCCACAAATTATTAGGAAAATGGAAAATTATGCTGAACTTGGTGCCAACAGAGCTAGGTTCTCTGTTTTCCCCACTTACTTTGTATTTTTGAGGTACACTCTTAAGCTTGGAGCTCAAGTTCTCACAGCCAGAAGCTGGCAGAGTTGGATTTGAAAGCAGTCTTTAATTTTTCCGTGCTTAAACTTACACTTCTTTTGTGTATGTATGTGTGTTGTGTGTGTAGAAACCACATTGGGGATTCCTACTCCTCAACCCCAAACATCTTTAATGGATCTATATGGACTTCAGTTCCACTTTCCTCCTGTTTGAAGGTCTCCTTACCCTGCCTTACCCCTTTCTCAGTAGCTGCCAGTACCCTTATCATTTCATGGGTTTTCCCCCAAGCTTAGGTGTGAAATAAAACACCTAGTAGCTTTCCTAGCTTCTTTGCCATCCTTGATGACAAGCATTCAGGCCTCCTTCATTTCAAGGATCCTTCATTTCAAGAATAAACAAAAGTAATGCACATAAAGTAGTACTAGTAGCATAACAAAATAATATAGGGAAATTACAAAGAATAATTTTTGCTGTTTTTATTCTAGAGTTCCCCATGAGGTTACATTTTGATTTCTGCCCTTTATTTCTGAATGATTCACTGTTTTACCCATCTTCTTCTGAACTCCACCTTTAGATGCATTTAAAATGTGATGATAGTTGCAAAGTAAAGAATTACAGGGCCGTTTGTTTTTGTAGATAATTTAAACTCAGTAACTTCTAGACTGAGTAGTGTTTAGTTTACAATTTTTTAAACCATAATTAAAAATTGAGTTCCTCTGGGCATTTTTTTACTCTGTATTTGCCTCCAGCTAGCTGAGTGTTCTAGCAGAGTACACGGCACATAAGTACTCTGTATCGAATTAAAAAATTCAACACGTTTATTTGTTAACTACATGCCAGGTATAAGGGCATGCAAAGTTATGTAAGTTTTAGACATGCTGAAATATACCCATTGTGTTAACTTCCACATAGCATTGTAGAGGTGAAAAATGTTTTCCTTACTCCCTTCTAGGTTCTTTGGTCTAATAAAGTAAATTGACATAAGACAGATTAATAGGAGAAAACCAAATTTTATTTCACAAATTGTTTATACAGCAGCCCCATAAAAATATGAAACTCAAAGTGAGCAAAGTAAGAAGCTTTTATATCTCTTAGATGAATAAACAAACTAAATGAGCAACAGTGCAAAAGCAATAACAGCAACTGGCAAAGCTTCAGTGTCAGGAAAGACCAAGTGGTGAGGAATAAAGTCCATCAATTAGTATATTGGTGAAGAAGTAACAAGGTTCGTTAATACAGCCTGCTCTGCTCTCAATTCCCACCCCCGTTCCACTTGCTGACTTTGAACAACAGCCTCTCAGTGCCTATTTCCTACTGACAAATGGGGTTAATTGTAAAATCTTCAGCACTGGATTGCTCTTAATTCATGACAAGAGCTGGAAACTGCTTGGCTGGGTTGCCTAGCAGAACTTAGCCTGATGCTGCTCCAGGCTGAGAACATAGGCCAATGTCTGACTTTTTTATCACACATTTTGCTCCAGCCGGACAAGTTCAAAGGTTCAAGACCAATCAATTCCGTTCAGACGCTTTATCTCTACTATCCCCACCGCAGAGGCGAGTTCCCCAAGCCCAGCCCAGGTTGACAGCAGGCAACACCCTCTGCCCTTGGGCGCCCTCCCGCTCCCGGGTCTGGGGCGTTTGCCGGTAGTTTCCACCGCTCAGGAAGCCACCACTCCCCGACCCTCCCCGAGCGGCGCCGGGAGCGGCACGCCTGCGTCATCGCGCGCGCGGCCCCGCCCTCTGCTCTCGCGGGATCCTCCTTGTGGGTTGCACCCGGCGGCCCGGGACGCAGCGGGCGAACGCTGAGGGGCCCGGATCTGACATTGTTCGGAGCTGCGGCGGGGAGGGAGAGGGCGGGGCCTCCCCTCTGGGCGGCGGCCCCGCCGCTGGTCCGCCTCCGCCGCTGCCGCCTCCGCGCGCCAAAATCAAATCGGAGACCCGCCGGCGGGAGACCCGGTGACGAGTCCAGCCAGCAGCGCGGTGGCGGCGGCGGCGGAGGCGCGAGCACCTGTGTCCCCTTCCCGGCCACCTGCCCGACGCGCCCCGGCCGCCCCTTGCCGAGGCATGGCCACCCCCCCCAAGAGGAGCTGTCCGTCTCCCGCGACCAGCTCCGAGGGAACCCGCATCAAGAAAATTTCCATCGAAGGGAACATCGGTAAGGAGCCCCGCGCAATGCTGGGTGCACAGAAGGGGGGTCCCGGCGGCGGCGGCGGCGGCGGCGCGCGTTTGCTGCGTCTCTTCTGCTCCTCAGCGAGGCCCTCCCTCCCCGGCTGGCTGCGGAGCTGCCTCTGGAATTCCCCTCCGACCGCAGCCTCCCCTCTGCCCTCCGGGCCTCCCCGGTGCTCCCCCGGCCTCCCCCCTGCCCTCCCGGGCTCCCCCCTGCCCTCCGGCCTCCTCCGTGCCCACCTCCCGCCTCCTCCCTTCCCCAATGACGGCGGGGGTGGCCTCCCGGGCATCTGGCAGCGCCTTGGGCCGGTTTCATCCTCTTCTACTTCTATATTTCTCTCCACAGGAAACCTACGCCTGACATTTCCTGTTTTGAGATACATTTTTTTTTTTTTTTTTTTCTCTCAAGTTATGTACTAGTCATTCATGCATACAGTGAATGTTTTTAAATTCTTACCCCATTCAAAGCACTTTGTTTTTTGTTTCTTTAATTTTTATAAAGCATTTGGACTTCTAAAAAGCAAGGCAAGCAGATGCTTTAGCAGCATTCCAAGGGTTAGAATAAAAGCTGAACATACCCTCAAAGAGGATATTTTGTTTCATTGCTCTCATATTAAGGCACCAGTGGAAAAGGTCCATATATAGTTGGACCCTTGAATAACATGTATTTGAACTGTGCAGGTCAACTTACACGTGGATTTCCCCTCCAATAAATACCTGTACTGTTTCTGTAGTTGGAAGTCCGTGGATGCTGAGGGAAGACTATATGCATTGATTTACCCCATTTTATATAGAGGACTTGAGGTCCTGGAAATTAAGTCTGAATATTTGCTAACACCGAACCTTGCATTTCTGTAAGATGACATTTTGCTATTTAGATGGACTTTATTCCTCACCACTTAGTCTTTCCTGACACTGAAGCTTTGCCAGTTGCTGTTATTGCTTTTGCACTGTTGCTCATGTCCCCTCCAATTTGTCAGACCCAAATAAGCTATAAATGTACAAATTGCTTATCTGTGTTGTAGAAAACAATTTATGATTCTTCTCTGATCCCTAGAATTGGAGACTTAACTGTTCATTTTATTTAATATTTATACTAGAGGCCTGGAGCACAAGATTCGTATACTGGGGCAGGGGGGCCCTCAGCCTGGCCTGTGCCCTCTTGCAGTCTGGGACCCCTCGGCGGACAACCCTCTAGCAGCCTGGGACCCCTCACTCCTTACCGCCTGCACCCACCTGCAGCAGAGGTGGGAGAGGCTCCTGCCACCACTGCCATATGCTTGCCAGTTGTGAACTGGTCTCGCTGCTCCTTAGTGCTGCCTTAGAGGTGGGAGAAGCTTCCACCATCGCTGCTGGGCTTGCCACCCAGCCCTGAGCCCGGCTTCTGGCTGAGTGGCGCTCCCCCTGTGGGAGTGCACTGACCACCAGGGGGCAGCTCCTTTGTTGAGCATCATCCCCATGATGGTTAGTGTGCATCATAGTGACTGGTCATTCTGCCATCCGATCATTTTGCATATCATGTTTTTATTCTACTAGAGGCTTGATGCACAAAATTTGTGCAAGGGGCTCAGCCCTTGCAACCATGGCAGCTGCCTCAGCCTTTGCAGCCCCAGCTTCTTCTGGAAAGTTGTTTGGCTGTCTGGTCTAATTGGCATTATTATGCATTTATTATTATAGATATAATAAAAGCCTAATATGCTAAGTGTCCAGTTGTCCTGTCATCTGTTCAACCAATCAAAGCATAATATGCTAATGATATGCTAAGGCTGCTCAACCACTCGCTATGACGTGCACTGGTAGGTTAGCTTGCTGCTGGGGTCCGACTGATTGGGACTGAGCGAGATGGGCTGGAGACACTCTGGAGCCCTTCTGTAGCTCCCCTGTGTCCCTCCCCATCCCCAATCGTGCACTGGGGGGGGGGTGGTCCCTTGGCCTCGCCTGTGCCATCTCGCAATCTGGTGCACAAATTTGTGCACCAGGCCTCTAGTATAACTATCTTCTCATTTTCTCTGTTACTAAAATAACCCCTTATGTTAGATTTATGGATGCCTTAACCTGTTTCTTCTCATAATAGTCTGTGTAGAATGACTTTTTAGCATGATGCCTGCTTGGCATTCATAATTGTTAGGTGCCATGGATTTTTAAAGTATTAACATCATTGTCCTTGGTTCTTATTCATCTTTGCCTTTATAGAATATTAATTTATTAATTAGCTTATTTTCTAGCCTCCCTCCCAAAGGCTAATAAACTAGATGTTAGTACAATTGGGAACTGCAGGTAATTATTGTTTGAATTATATGTAATTTTATTACTTTTAAAATTTCAAAATATGAACACTTAAACATATTGCATGTGTAGGCAGTGTCAGAAGAAAGCTGAATTCTAGCCTAAGTGCTCTTAGGCTAGATTGCAATCAATCTAATTTTTAAAAAAAATATATTTTATTGACTTTTTATAGAGAGAAAGGGAGAGGGATAGAGAGTTAGAAACATCGATGAGAGAGAATCATCGATCAGCTGCCTCCTGCACACCTCCTACTGGAGATGTGCCTGCAACCAAGGTACATGCCCTTGACCGGAATCGAACCCGGGACCCTTGAGTCCACAGGCCGATGCTCTATCCACTGAGCCAAACCGGTTAGGGCTGATTTTGCCTAATTTTTAAAATGTTTTCCTCGGGTGTTTTTTCTGAGCATCATGTTTTCCTTTCCATCTTTATTTACCTCTGAATATCTGGTGATCATTTTTATGTTTCCACTTATTATTCTTCTAGATGCTATTCTTATACTCCCTATGCTTACCTCTCCACACAAAATCCGTGGTTAACAGTGTTTTTTTCATTAAGTCTAATAGTCATCTAATTTATCCTTAAAAGTTTTTTTCTCCTCAGCTGTTCTCTTTCTGTTACCTTATCAACCCTCCTCTTTTCCCCCTCTATATGTGATCTATTTTTTTATTTTTTAAATTGATTTCAGAGAGGAAGGGAGAGGGAGAGAGATTGGAATATCAGTGATAAGAGAGAATCATTGATTGGCTGCCTCCTGCATGTCCCCTACTGGGGATTGAGCCTGCAACCCAGGCATGTGCCCTAGACTGGAATTGAACCCAGGACCCTTCAAGTCCGCAGGCCCGACACTCTCTCCACTGCGTCAAACCAGTTAGGGCTCTACATGTGATCTTTCAAAGTTGTTCCAGTTTGTTCTTTTTTCTATTGTCCTAGATTTGAATGTAGTTTTGTAAGTCAAAGGTAAGTTCTTTTTGCCCTCTTTGGATGCATTTTATAAGGAAGAGGAGGCTTTACTAACAAGGATACTGAAGTTGCTTTTTATGTTTGTGTGTGTGTGTGTGTGGAGAGAGAGAGAGAGAGAGAGAGAGAGAGAGAGAGAGAGAGAGAGAGAGAGGGAGGGAGGGAGAGAGAGAGAGAGAGAGAAAGGAAGGGAGAGAGGGAGAGAGAGAGAAACCTGCTGACTGGAGATGTTTAATATAACCACATTTGGTGACTTCAGAGAGAAAGGGTGTGGTGGTCATTAGGAGTACTGCTGCACACTATTAAATTTTAGGTCAACACTTTTCCTATTATTAAATTGAATGTATTTCTGGGTAATTTATAAATATAATGTGCTTTGATTTTACCTGAATATCTATCTCCCCTACTGCAATTTCTAAGTAACTAGTGAATGATCAGATAAATTTTTTTTAAGGATTGGATAGAGTACACATTGCACAGAATCATGAAAATAAAGCAGAGAAAACATGGCTATTTCTTATAGGAAGTGCTTTGCAAAAAAGGTTTTATAATTTATTAGTGGCCCAGTGCACGAATTCGTGCACATTGAAAGGAAATTAATGAGAACAAATATTTTAATATTGCTATTTGCCCTTTCTCTATAACTGATGTGTCAACCAAATTCATGATTGACAGTGACAGATGGAAACGTGTGTGCGGTTGGCACCAGCGAGAGCTTTATGTGTATCACTAGATGTCGAGTCCTGCAGGGGCTGCTCCTTGGGTGGCAGTGGCTCCTCGAGCTGTGGTTGCTCTTCAGGCAGTAGTGGCAGCGGCTCCTCTGGTGGGTGCTGTTTGCAGCAGTGGTGTCTCCTCTTGCTGGTGGGGGAAGGCTGCTCGCACAGCTGCTGCTCCTCGGAGGGGGGTGGGCTAGTCATGAGGCTGCTGCTCCTCTGATGGGAGTGGGCTGCTAGCGTGGTTGCTGCTCCTTGCACGGGGGCGGATTGCTCATGTGGCTACTGCTCCTTGGATGGGGGCTGGATGCACGTGACTGCTGCTCCTCAGATGGGGCAAGCTGCTCGTGAGGCTGCTGCAGGTCAGATGCGTCCAGACTGCTTGCGTGGCTGCTGCTTGTCAGATGGGTCCAGACTGCTTGTGTGGCTGCTGCTCCTTGGACGTAGGCCGTCTGCTTGTGTGGCTGCTGATGCTTGGACCCGGGTGGGCTGCTCAGGTGGCTGCTGCTTCTTGAATGGGGGCAGGCTGCTCTTATGGCTGCTGCTTGGATGGAGGCAGGTTGCTCGTGCAGCTGCTGCTCCTCAGATGGGGGCGGGCTGCACGGGGCTGTTGCTCCTCAGTCATTGGGGGTGGAGGGTGCTGCTCTTCAGGAGCATGCTGCTTGTGTGGTTGCTGTTCCTCAGACTAGGGAGCTCACACAGATGTTGCTGCTTGGACAGGGGCAGGCCATGTGAGGCTGCTGCTCTTCAGCCTTGGGCGGGCTGCTCGCAAGGCTGCTGCTCCTTGGACAGGAGCAGGCTGCTCATGTGTCTGCTGCTCGTGTGGTCTCAGTGCCCTGGGCAGCTGAGTCTCCTTCCCCAATTCAGAGTGGATGTTATTCATTTCAGCTGCTCATTCTGTCTGCTCCAGAACAAGGCTCAGGACATGTCCATCTATTCTGCTGCCATTTTTTCATCTCCACATTTTGCACTTGAACCAAATGTCTGTGAAGCGTTTTCCCGTGCCTCATCTCATTTGATAATCACAGAAGTCCTGGAGCAGGTAGATAGGAGACTTGGTGAAATCCTATTTTCTTTTCATTAGCCGGAAAATGGAGATTTTGAAAGCTTAGAAACTTGACCTGACGGAAAAGAAGTAAGAAATGGTGCACCTTGAGAATGACTTCAGGATTTCTCACTGGGCAAAATATAGTCAAACACTGCTGCAGTTAAATATTTTACCCTTTGTTCTCCTTGTGTGATCTACAATAATAATCTGCTTGTGTTGATATTTACTGCTGTGTTGCCGACAATTACCTGAAGGAGAAGTTGGGGTGCTTCACTGGGCTGGAAAACTTAACTAAATCAGGAAGCAAGTCTAACTAATCAAGTTTATTCTACATATATAAAAGGCTAAACTGCCTCGCACTTGTGCAATACACATAAAGCTCTTGCTGGCGCCAATCGGACACATGTGTTTCCATCTGTCATTGTTGATTGTGAATTTGGTTGACATTTCTATTATAGAAAAAGGACAATAGTGATATTAAATATTTCTTCTAATTAATTTCCTTTCAATGTGCACATATTTGTGCACTGGGCCACTCGTATGTGAATAATGCCTTGTGCTAAGACATTAGGATATCTATGTGTCACTAGGTGATAGGAATTTTTCAGCTTTAGTCTTGAGGGAACCACCATAATACATGTAGTTCAACATTGAGTGAAATGTTATGCTGTTCATGATTATAACTTTTGAAAAGTTGAAGACTAGTTTGGCTTCCCCCCCCCCTTTTTCCCCCCCATAAGTTTTTCCCCCTCAGTTTTACTTTTCCTCTTCACACTAGCTGCGGGAAAGTCAACATTTGTGAATATCCTTAAACAAGTCTGTGAGGATTGGGAAGTGGTTCCTGAACCAGTTGCCAGATGGTGCAATGTTCAAAGTACTCAAGATGAATTTCAGGTATGAAAATAAAATTTAAAATAAAAACGTTTTGGCTTAGAGAAGCAGTAGTATTTAATCTTTTGGGTGTTTGCTTGTTTTTCCTTTTTCCAGTAAAACTTTGAAACCTAGCTTTAATTCTTTATGTTCATCCTGATGAACAATATTAATTGTTGAATATAATAGAATCAGAGGTATGGAAGGGGAGTGGACTGATGATTCTCGGGGCAAAGGGGAGTGGGGGTGTGGGAAGAGACTGAACATAAACTGTGCACCTATGGATGAGGACAATGGGGGGTGGGGAAAGGGCAGAGGATGGGGTGGGAACCTGGTGGAGGGGGGGAAAAATGAACTTTTGTAATAATATAAACAATAAAGATTTATTTAAAAAAAGTAAAATAAAAAGAAATTCTTCATGTTCATTTGGATAGTAGTACAAGGATGTTTATCTATGTAAACACTGGAGTATATGCATATAACGTATGTACTTGATTATATCTAAGTAAAATTTTTTAAGTTTTTAAAAATTAATTTAAAAGTTTTAAAAAATCCAATTACAAGTTAAATTCCTTGAGTTGCTTTTTACTTTTTGTTTTAAAAAAGATAAGCAAACAAGAAAAACAAAACTACCTAGTAACTTAATTTTATTAGTTTATTTTTTAAGCCTTTTGTCTTAGAAAGAACCATGTAAGCTCCCATTTCTTTGTACTGTCATTTTTTTGCCAGACTTTCACCCTGGACACAAGTTTCAATTTCTCAGCATTATTCATTCTATGTTGTGAATGAGAAGAAGGGGAAATATAAATATATTTTATAAATATATTTTTATTGACTATATTTTTATAAATATATTTTTATTGACTACGGAGAGAGAAGGAGAGGGAGAGAGAAATAGAAACATCAATGATGAGAGAGAATCATTAATGGGCTGCCTCCTGAACACCTCCCATTGGGATTGACCCCACAATCCAGGCATGTGCCCTGACCAGGAATCAAACCCTGGGTTGATGCTCAAGCACTGAGCCATGATGGCTGGGCAAATGTCATTTTTTAAAGCACAATTAAAAAAAAAATTTTTTTTTATTGATTTTTTACAGATAGGAAGGGAGAGGGATAGAGAGTTTGAAACATCAATGAGAGAGAAACATCGATCAGTTGCCTCCTGCATGCCTCCTACTGGGGATGTGCCGGCAACCAAAGTAAATGCCCTAGACTGGGATCAAACCTGGGACCATTCAGTCGCTTTATCCATGGAGCCAAACCAACTAGGGCCAAAATGCCAAAATTTTAAATTGCAGAGAGAAATGTAATTATCAGATTCATTGAATTAGGTCAATCCAATCTCAATGTAGGGCCATAAATCTCAACTATTAGAAGAAACTCTTAAAAATCTCAAGGATTTGGGGTGCTTTTAAAAAGAAGCAGTTCCTATTATAAACTGATGAACAAAAAGATAGATATAGAGACAGTAAAGCAACAAACAGACCGTCAAATTACAGCAGGGAGGATAGGGAGATCTGGGGGAGATAAGAGATCAACTGAAGGACTTTTATGTATGCATATAAGCATAACCAATTGACGAAAAACTCTGGGGAGAGAGGGTATGTATGGGAGTGGTGGTGGGGGAATTGGTAAGATATGTACACATATAATACCTTAATAAAAAAATGAAAGAAAAAAAAAAGCAGTTCCTTATGGATATCTCCTGGTTAAAAATGACTGCCCTGCCCCGGCTGTGTGGCTCAGGATGGTTGGAGGGTCATCCAGCTGGTTGTGGGATCTCTATCTGGTCAGGGCACATACCTAGGTTGCTGGTTCAATCCCCAGTCAGGGTTCATTTGGGAGTCAACTGATCAATGTTTCTCACATAGATGTCTCTCTCACTCTCAAAACCCCCCCCCGACAATAATGAAAAATGATTGCTCTAGTGAATTGCTGTTAGTATTGGGAGTATATTGAACTCTGGTTGACATTGGTGAGGAAAGGTTGCAAACATTGCATTCATATGCATGGGAAGACAGGTTATACTAAGAAGGTTGTCTGTTTAGAATCAGAGTCAGGGAATTAGTTATATTATCTTAATGACTGATGTCATCATACTGTGACACATTGATGCATCTGTCTTTCTTTCGAATATCTTTGGCTTCATGGACCTGAAACTTGTGTTTATGGACTGAGGTGTTTCTTCACATGTTCTAGAGTCAAAAATTTCCAAACTGACCTTTCTTTAAAACTACCGTGGAGATGCTGCTATTATTATTATTAACATATACTTTTATCAGTCCGTTTACTGCAATCCAGTCAGGATATTACAATTTGATTACCTTCAATGGATTTGGTGCTCAATCCCTGAGGATAGCTTTTTTTGGGTGTGTAGTGAGAGCTACTATGTTGTTAGTCCTTTGTACTTCTAGGTGGAGTTTCAGACAGTGTGAGGGATCTCAAGGGAGACCTTAACCAGATCCAGGTTTTTGTTAGGGAACAAGAAAGGATTCAAGAGTGTGACAGGAGTTAAAACGCACAATAAATTTATTAAAGTGATAGTCTGAACTAGAGAAGTGAGAGCAGGTGACCTCAGAGAATGAAGTGCCTCAGTGGATCTGGGTGGAAGGTTTTTATTAAACGTGGTGGTGTAATAGGGGGTGGTGGAGTAGGATGGTCCTCTGCTTGTGACGCTGGTGCGGTGACTGCTGTTGCCATTCATCCTTGTCTTTTCTCAGGGCACCGGTGTCAGTGAAGGTTGTATCTGTGATGTTCCAGCCAAGTTGAAGGAGTGTTAGAGCTTGAGGCCTTTGTTCCCTATTCTAACTTTCCTGCCTCAGGAGGGGATAGTATTTTGGGGTACTAGGCTGTGGAGTGTGAGGATGGTGTTGGATGAGTGTATTCCTGTGTCTGTACACTTTAAAAGAAAATCCTCATCCTTGAATATTTTTCACTGATTTTAGAGAGAGGAGGGGAGAGGGAGAAGGAGAAATATCAAGGTGAGAAACAGTGATCAGCAGCTTCCTGTATGTGTCTTGACTGGGGATGAAACCACAATCTTAGGTATGAGCCTGACCAAGAATCCAGCCAGCAACCTTTTTGGTGTACTGGCCAGTGCTCAACCAACAGAGCCACCCAGCTGGGCTGGATACTTTATTTTTTCTTTTTAAAAACTCAAGAAATGGGATTTTCTTTTTTCATACTGAATATCTTTTTTATACCCATCCCTAATCTAATCCTTAAGGTTTGAGTGTGAGTTACCTATTGTCCAAATCTCAGCTTTCTTTAGAATATCATCAATAGTGAAAAGTAGACTGTCTTCAGATTCAACTCTTTCAAGCCCAGTCCTGATTTGAATGTTCTCTACTTAATCACACTCTGAGCAGTTGGTGTAGAATTAGAAGAATTGGACTGTTGATAACTTTTGATCTGATTCTCTAGTCTAGGGGTGTCGAACTTAATCAGAGAAGGGGCCAAAATCTAAAATCCAGCCTAAATCGCGGGCCGAATGGTTTACTGAACAGTCATAAACTGTCATTGTGATGGAAACGCAGCGGAGTGCAGTGATGACAGCGCGGTGCGGGCCACATTGCAAGGCCTGGCGGGACGGATTTGGCCCGCGGGCCTTGTGTTTGACACATGTGCTCTAGTCAGTAATTAAATTTGCACCTGTTAGCTTAGGGTTTTTCTTTAAGCTTTTTTTTTTTTTTTTTTTAACCTGCCATCTAGTGGCTGTAATGTTGGTATGTATTGACAAGCTGCCACAGATATTAGTGAAATAATAAGACTGTCATATAAGATGTATCTCCCTTACCTTCTCTTCCCATGTTAAGATTATCTTTAAAATATGTCATCAATGCCCTAATTGGTTTGGTTAAATAGATAGAGCATCAGCCCCTGGACTGAACGGTCCCGGGTTTGATTCCAGTCAAGTACCTTGGTTGTGGGCTCAATCCCTAATAGGGATTGTGCAGGAGGCAGCTGATCAATGTTTCTCTCTGATTGATGTTCCTAACTCTATTCCTCTCCCTTCCTCTTGTAAAAATCAATAAAATATATTTTAAAAATATACTCCATCTCCTTTTGAAGAAATGTGCCTTATAAAATCTGATATCAGTATTGAAATAAATTTAATGTGACCTAGTTTTTCTGTTTCATTGGATTCTTTTTCACTGCAGGTAAATGCAAATGTTCTTTGGTCTACTCATAGACCCTCTTAGAAGGAGTAGTTGACATCCAGGAAAGGTGAAAGAAGTTTTATTAAAGAGAAAATGCATGTTAATTACTTAAAAGTTTATGAAACTATTTTAGAACTGCCAAACTTTACTATGTGACAGTATATGATGAAAATATTTTTTTAAAACACAAATTTAACTGCTTTTTTTTTTTTTGAAGGGGAATGTTTGCAATAGTTAAAAGTACAGGATAAAGGGACATGCAAATCGCTGAGAAAAGGAAGGAAGCACATTATTTTTGTGGCCAAAATGGAGGTCACAAAAATTATGCATTAAGGTTCTTAGGGTATTTACTTATACTTTTGACACAATCTAATAAAAACTTATTTTCTGATTAGAAAGGTCTGTCAAGGAAGGGACTTTAAAGAGACAACCGTGTTGATTGACCACCTGACGTCAAAGGAGGAAATAGAAAAATTGAAAACAGACAAGCACTAAAAAGGAATACCAGTTTTGACTCATTTATTATAAGATGAAATAGCAACTTGAAGAATTTGTGCCTGATATTTGTGCTCAATTGCTAACTTTTCTTGTGTATCCAGCAGTCAGTATTCATATAAAAAGTTGTGAGTCTCAACAGGGAATGGTGGGGCTTATAAACAATGAGCTTGTGTCCTACCTAGTGAAGCACATGGCCTACCCTAACTACTGTAGCTGATTTTTACCAAGAGGAAATGCAGGCCCAGAATTACTTTGTTTTCCTATTTTTAAAAAGAAGATAAACATCCAGCTATATTATATGAAATTATTTAACTCTTAGATATTGACAACTAATTTAAATTTGGGCCAAATAATTTCTGACATAGGCTGTTTGTGACCTCTTGTGAAAAAGATCTAAGGAATTGGTAGTTAAGCTAGCTTTTCAAATTCTTCCCAGCTTCAGGTAACCTAAAAATACAGTGGAAAAGAGAAGAAAGAAGAAGAATTACTCATTTTGGTTTTGCTAATCATGATGCATTTATTTATCCAACTTCTCTTTATGAGCTTTTAAAAATTTAAGAGTCCTATTGATCATTAACTTTGCTTTTTGTTTCCTTTCTTTCTTTCTTTCTTTCTTTTCTTTTTTTTTTTTCTTTTTCCAAATTTGAAGCAAGAACTGACCACATCTCAGAAAAGTGGTGGGAATGTCCTTCAGATGATGTATGAGAAACCTGAGCGATGGTCTTTTACCTTCCAGTCATATGCCTGCCTCAGTCGCATACGAGCTCAGCTTGCCTCTCTCAATGGCAAGCTCAAAGATGCGGAGAAACCTGTATTATTTTTTGAACGATCTGTGTATAGTGACAGGTATATATAAATTATTTGTACTTATTATGTTGGGTCCTTGGCTTAGTTTTTTTTTTTTTCTTTCCTGTTTCCTTGGAATCAAAGTAATAAGAGAGGTTGAGTTGGGGATTTGAGGTGGAGAATGACATTTAATACTTTTAACAGTTTGAAACTAATGGCATTAGGGAAGTCATGGTATTTACTAGGAGCCCGATGCCCGAAATTCATAATAGAGTAGGCCTTTCTTCCCCCGCTGCCAGCACCAGCTTTCCTCCGGCACCCGGGACCCGGGCTTCCCTTGCAGCTCTGGCTTCGTCTGGAAGGTCATCCTGAAGGATGTCCAGTCTAATTAGTATATTACACTTTTATTATTATAGATAATTTCTACATTCCATGGGAACTATTGGGGATATGTGGCCATATCATTCAAATTTGTAGAGAAATTTTAAAAATTCTCATCTGCTCTGGTTAAATCTGAATCTATAGACTCACCTGGAGCAAGAATATGAAAAATCTTTAAGGGGGCCTTGGAATTACCCTGTGTATGCAAGGATTCTTTTAATCTCTAGAGTTAGCTCAGAACAGGGGTTCTCAAACTTTTGTTCTTAGGACGACCCCTTTTCATTCTTAATAATTATTGAGTAGTTCTTTGTGTCTTATTCATATTTCTATTAGAAATTAAGATTGAGAAATGGAAAAATTTATTTAAAGTTAGCTATAATAAACCCATTACATATAAACATAAATAACATATAGTGAAAATTACATTTTTTCAAAGCAAAAAGAAATAGTGAGAAGAGCAGCATTTTACATTTCTGTGAATCTCTTTAATGCCTGATTTAAATGAGCTGGGTTCTCATTTATGGTTCTGTATTCACTCTGTTGAACATATTATTTTGGTTGAAGTATAAAGTTCTCTGGCCTCTCACACAAAACCTCTGGAAAGGTTGTGGTGTGTACCAGGGGTCCTCACACCACACATCTGAGAACCACTGGGCAATCCGTACATAATTTTATGTAGTTGGAGATACTCTGTTGTTTTTGTTTGTTTGTTTGTTTTTGTTATCCAAAGCATTATCTGCCACAGGTTTTAGGAGAAGGTTCCATGTCCATTTGATAGATCTATTTTCTCTTTTCTATTTCTCTGTGCTTTTTGGAAAGGATTTATGTAGACTCTTTTTCAGGTATATTTTTGCATCTAATTTGTATGAATCTGAATGCATGAATGAAACAGAGTGGACAATTTATCAGGACTGGCATGACTGGTTGAATAACCAATTTGGCCAAAGCCTTGAATTGGATGGAATCATTTATCTTCGAGCTAGTCCAGAGGTGAGACTTAAACATTTGCTTGTTCCTTTGAAAATTTAAAGTAATATTTAGAAAATTTTCAGTGTTATGCAGTGAAGGCAAAATAATAAACTTCATTCCCCACCCTCTAGATTCCTACCTCCAAATGAGAAACTGAGAACTGTGTAGATAGAAGATTCTATTTTCTCAGCAAAGTAGGAAACCAGATTTGGCAGGTTGCTCTTTTAGGTCCTTATTTGTTCTACCTCAATTCTATTCTTCATAATTTCTTAACTTTCGCAGAGTCGCTTATCACAGCTAGATTAAGAAACTTGCTTAAGCAACTTCTAGAATATGGACTTCATGAGGTGGATATTTTAATTACTGTTGAATTTTCAGTGCTTAGAATAAGGCTTGGATACATAGTAGGAGCTCAGTAAATGTTTGCTGAATGAATGGCAAACTTGATGGAGGAAATCTTTCATGGTTTTGCTTTGGAATGGATGGGTAGTAGCAGCTATAGTTGAGAAGAGACTTAATGGACCCTTAATGGACCCCTCCCAAGTTAAGGGCGTTTACTTGAAATTGTGCCTTTCATCATAGATTGCAACATAGGTATTGTTTACATATGAAATTATGTAATGAATACAGGAAGACCAAGTGGATGCCTTTCATAAAACTAACCTAAATGAGAACTTAAATTTATTAAATTTCTGGTTTTGGTGCTTGCATTCCCATTTTTCTTTGATTTTTATTTCTACTTCTTACTTGAGTCACAAAGTAAGTTCTGATAATGTAAATGTTACAACTCCTAGCTTGAAAGAATACTGTGTTATATTGAGGCTCAATTTTCAAAGGAACTATGTTTCTGTTTCCAAGTGATGATTTTGTTCTTCTGATATCAAGTAAACCAGAATTTAACAATAGTAACTTTAAAATTCACTTTTATTTCTGAAAATAATTTTTAATTATGAAAATAATAAATGCAAATAAGAAATAATAATTTAATTGTTAGAAACAATATTTTAAAGTCTAATATAAATGTATTATTTCATTAATATTGTTTTTGATATCCTTTGATTAAATTCTCATTTAATTATTTGAAAAGAGAGTTTATAATAGAATTAGAAGCACAGTTTTATTCTGCTTTTTTTTCTTTTTACCAAGCTTACTTTAGACAATACATTTCAAATGTAGATGCCAAAAGTTTATAGACTTATTTTGTAAGTACTATTACTATTTGGTTTAGAGCCACCAAATTGTTGAAAACTATAGGGAGGGAAAAAGGAACTGTTGTTTGTTCTTAGAAAGAATAGAGATTTTGGTTAGCATGACAAAAAGGACACTAAAGAAGAAAAATTTAATGGTATCAGACAAGAATACTTGTGTGTCCCGCCCCCCCCCCCCCCCCCAGCTCTCTCTTCTTTTTAAAATTATTTTTGATTTCAGAGAGGAAGGGAGAGGGAAAGAGATTGAAACATCAATGATGAGAATCATTGTTCTGCTGCCTCCTGCATGCTCCCAACTGGGGATTGAGCCTGCAACCCAGGCATGTGCCCTTAACTGGAATCAAACTCGGGACCCATCAGTCCCCAGGCCAACGCTCTGCCCACTGAGCCAAACCAGCCAGGTCTACCCTCTCTTCTTATTCTTGCTTTTAGAAATGCTTGAATAGAATACATTTACGGGGAAGAAATGAAGAACAAGGCATTCCTCTTGAATATTTAGAGAAGCTTCACTATAAGCATGAAAGCTGGCTCCTGCACAGAACACTGAAGTAAGACTTCCTTCTTATTTACTACTCATTTTTAATACTTCTGTCAAATTTTAATTAAAAATGTACAATATGTCCAATTTTATTTTTAAATTAGGTGTGGATTTTTATTCTTTTTATTTCAATGAGATTCATTTTCTTAAAGTTTTTATAGCTAATTTCCCCCTGTGGTACTGACAGCATAATATAAGGAATTTCAAATTAAGTGATAAAATAGAAAATATATCTGTGTATATTATTTAGATACTCTCAGAGACTATTTTAAGATAAGATATTTCAAATTTGTTTCTTAGATCAAGACTTGGGAGGTAGTATAACATAATTTTTGAGTATGGACTTTGCCGCTAGTCAGTTTTTGGTTCAAACCAGCTCCACTAACTAGTGTATGACCTTGGATAATCTCTGAGTTTCAGAGTGGTCTCCTTGAACGTTAGTTTTATCATCTTTAAAATGCAGATATTCCTCCTACTATACAATATGTTTTTTGTTTTTGAGGACTATTACATGTCACAATGCCTAGCTTTATATATTATACCTGAGATTGTTAGATACATATATGTAAATCTAGGTGAGAAAGAAGGGGCTGTCAGATGAAGTACTTACAGAATAACTTTAATAGAAAAATGACTGCCATTTTGATTTGTCTGAGTTATAATAATGAGTTTTTAGTTTTTTTCTTATTTATTGCTTTGTTTTGTTTATCACTCTTTAAATAGAACCAACTTTGATTATCTAGAAGAAGTGCCTATCTTAACATTGGATGTTAATGAAGACTTTAAAGACAAACATGACAGTCTGATTGAAAAGGTAGATTTATACAAAGAATATAAACTAATATTTGCTTGGTCTTGTCTAAAAAGGTATCCTAATTTGTGAGAAAATTTTCTAACAGAACTGATTACATAAAGTTACATTAAGGGGCAATTAAAAGCTTTAGAGGGATTTAGACTATTTATATTGTAATCCTAACTTGAAATTCTAGCTTTGTGGCCTTACCTAAAATAAGGAGCTTTTTAATCTTTTAGTTCCTTTACCTGAGATACAGGAATAATCACAAAAGTTCTTGCTTGCTTCTCTCCTTTTTCTCCTTTCCCTATACCACTTAATCTTTAGACATTTTAATAATTAACTATTTGTTTATTTTTTTTCAACTAAATTCAATCTGGAAAATATTTGAAATTGTAAGATATAGATCTTAGCCATTTTTATATTAGTCTTGAGATTAAAGGAGTTTTAGTTTTGAAATTTATTTGGATTGAGGATCTAGCCCACAACACAGGCATAGGCCCTGACTTGGAATTGAACTATGACCTCTCCTGGTTCATAGTTCGCTGCTCAACCACTGAGCCATGCCAGCCAGGCTATTTGGGTCCTTGTCAATGATGAATTGTCATTGTCTAATCATTGAGTCATTGTCTTAATCAGAGTTAATTTATCCCCCAGATGTGAGGTATATTTTATTAAGTGAGTGGTACCTTTGTTGATAAAGGTACTGGGAGAGAACTTTTTGATGAATGCTTGAGAGAGAATAGTATGAGAATTACATAACAAATATCTTTGTATTTGTGTTAATTAAATTAGTGATCTAAGGTCTAAAGAAGCCACACTTTTTTGTTTGTTTTGTTTTGAGATAAATTTGATATTTTTTTTTCTCCTGTCACAAAATGTTTGCTATTTCCTAATAGGTACTTGACATTCATTAAGGAATATATCTCAAGAATTTTTAAAACCTCAACATTTGTAGATAAACTACTATTGCAGATAGTTGTTTTTTCCCATCATATAAATTAAAGTATATCTGGACAATTCAAGTGACTTATTTCTTATTATAAATGATATTTTAAAATATAGGGTGGAATTCACGTAAATGATAACTATTACAATAAATTAAGTTAGCCATTGAAACACTAACAACCAACCATCATTTTAACTGAATCAATTTGTAAATCCACTTTAAAAAAATTTATTGTAACATTTCTGTGAAGAATGACTAGAAATCATCATTTTGTATTATTTGTTTTTGTTTTATTAATAATATTAGCAGTTGGTTTTCTTTTTGAAATATTTTGACATGGCAATAATTGTTGTTTGTTCAGGAGAATTACTGTATAGTCTAGAATATGAAGAGAACAAAATCTTGTTACTGTGATGTTAGTTAATTGGCTAGATTCAGTCACTGCTTATATTGCCTTTCCTCAGGCATTAACATTACAGAGTATATACTAGATTCAAATTTGAGCTTCAGAGAAATTACAGAAAATTAACGGGGGGGTGGGGAGGAAACCATTGCAAAAAAAGAAAAATTACAGGTCTGTTACATGTCTGAACCTTCAGAATTGTTTAAACCATTACAGTTATTAATGTTATCAATACTAAAGCTGTACATGTCAGGGTCTGAGGTATTATAAAGCGATAAAATTATGATTATAAAATGAAACATTATAAAACTAGAGACGATGGCTGTTATAGAACTATATCAATCTTCGGCTAAATTTAATAACTCCTTTAATTACATTTTATATCATTCAGCTTTTACTACTAAAGTATTTATTAATATGGCTTTTAAAGTAAATGCTATGGCTTTGTGATAGAATTATTTATATAGGTGGGTCCTCAATTGTTATATACTTTTAAATGAAGATGAATATTAGATATCTCAAATTAGTCAAATAACTATATTAATATGTTTTTCCTCTTCTCAGGTCAAAGAATTTTTGAGCACTTTGTGATCTTGCTGAAGACTTCAGGGAGCAAAATGATTCCAGACACTTAAGCTTTGTGTATCTTTGTAGCTTTGTATTTATACAAGTCTCTTTAGAAAACCCAAGTTTTTAACCATTTTTGTTGCCAAGAAAAAATAATTTTTTTATGAGTCCTATATGAAAGTTTATGACCAGCTTCTCCCTTTCCTTCCTCACTCCCTTCTTCCCTCTCTCCCTCTCTCTCTCCCCCTTCCTTCCTTTGTATAAAAACCAGACATTTAATGATCTCTCATAGCAAGAAGTCTGGAGGTAGATGGTTTCAGAATCACTATAGTGGCTAAAGGTCCTCTATCACAAAGGACCCACCCTCCTCTGTCTTTCCCGTTATCCTCCTCAGCAGGTTGGCTTTTTTCCTGGTGCTTCTCATCTCATGGTTGACTAGTTTCTTAACTGGATTTCTTAATTGGAAACTTCATAGAAAATGGTAATCTGTCCTGTGTAAATTAGCACAAAAAGTTGGAAGTGGAATTTAAGGAAATCCCTAGAAAAAGAATTATTTTATTTTAAGTACTTTGATCCATTGCCTTCCCTTCTACCCCAATTTATGTGGAAGATAAGATCACTCGTAATATTTAACAATTCATTGATATTTAATAGTGTGTCTATAATACATTCGTAGAGGAGCAAGTTAGACTATGTTCCTAGTTTGTAATGGCATATATCTATACCATGCATGAGGCTTCATCTTTTTGCATGGAATTTTGGATAAAGAAAAAATATTTCTTAAAATAGAGCTTTAAGCGCCCTACCTGGTTTGGCTCAGTGGATAGAGTAGCCTGCAGACTGAAGGATCCCAGGTTCGATTCTGATCAAGGGCACATGCCTAGGTTGGAGGCTCGATCCCCAGTAGGGGGCATGCAGGAGGCAGCTGATCAATGATTTTCTGTCATCATTGATGTATCCCTCTCCCTCTCTCTCTCTCTCCCCCCTCTCTCTCTCTCTCCTCTCTCTCTCTCTCTCTCTCCTCTCCCCCTCTCTCTCCCCCCCCCCCCCCCCTCTCCCTCCCTCCCTCCCTCTCTGAAATCAATAAAAATATATTTTAAAAATCATAATAACTTATAAGTGAAGGCCCGGTGAGGTGGCTAAGTTGATTGAATGATATCCTGTGCCAGTTCAATTCCTGGTTAGGGCACATGCCTAGATTGTGGGTTCAGTACCCAGTTGGGACACGTGCAGAGGGAAACCAATTTATGTTTCTCTCCTTTCCTCTCTCTAAGCATGTCCTCGGGTAAGATTAAAAAAAAATAACAACTTACTGAAGGTTATTACATGAGTAAATGATTTTCAGACCATTCTTTTACAATGGAATATTACTATTATGGTTAAAAGATAGTAATTATTGTCTTTAAATCATTTGAGGTGGAAGTATACGTTTCTTCTCTTTAAAAAAAAAATATTTTTTACTGATTTTAGGAAGAGAGGAAGGGAGAGGGAGAAAGAGAAACATGGATGTGTGTGAGAGAAACATCAATCGCTGCCTTCTGCACGATCCCTACAGGGGATCAAGCTAGCAACCTGGGCATGTGCCCTGACCAGGAATTGAACCAGAGACCTTTCCATGCATGGGATGATATTCAGCTAACTGAGTCACACCAGCCTGAGCTCTTCTCATTCTACATGTAAAACATAAGTGGGACATGGTGAGAAATACATTTTTCCATTTTATTCCTTATGGACTCTGCACTGGGAACGAGCAGTCTTTTATTACCCTTATGTAGTTTGTAAGAAGTCAAAAGAAAAACTGAAGACAGGTAGAGAATCTTGTGAGTGTAGTCTATTTAGCCCCACCTGTTATTTCCCGCCTCATCCAGGTTTTGCTCCTGTCAGAATTAATTAGGCAGCCTGCTATTGTAAATACACATTCTGCTTTGAGAACATTATGATTATCCTTTGCTTCATGGTTGGCTTTGCTTCTCTGTCCCCCCTCCCCCTTTTTAAGGGAAATTACTGACAATAAATGATTTTGCTTTGCTTTATTTGTTACATATCTTGAAAGCATTATTATTTCTTTTGAATATATATTGGAAAATATATTAATAAAGAAGAAAAAGGGTAAAATAGGTGTAATTTAAAAATATCTCATCGGATTTATTTTTATTTTGTATATAATTAAAGATTTTTTTTTAAGTTTGTTTAGTTAAATGTGAGGTGTTTTTTCTATGTATATACCCTTTCTACTTGCCATTTTAGAAAAATTTTGTTTTTGAAGTGGGGGGAAGAGACTTTTTATTTTGAAATAATTTTCCTTTTCAAAATGTCTTGTTTTGTTTCTTGAGATAATTCAGTGGGTTAAACATTCTAGATGTCCTGATCTTTGAAAGGGAAACTGCATTTTAAATTTATAATCAAACCTGGCCGGTGTGACTCAGTGGTTGAGCATCAGCCTATGGACAAGGAGTTCACGGTTTGATTCTCAGTCAGGCACATCCCCGGGTTGTGAGCTCGATCTCCAGTAGTGGGTGTGCAGGAGATAGATGATTCTTTCTCATTGATGTTTCTATCCATCTCTTCCTCTCCCTTCTTCTCTGAAACCAATTTAGAAAATTAAAAAAATATATAATCACCATGAGTATTTAAACTATTTCATGATGTATGTGTGTGTTTTTTATTTGATATACATCAGTTTGTTTACTAAATTAAACATTTACTTAATAAATAAGTATAAATCTCATGACTTTTAACGGAGCTACGCTCATTGAATTAAAGTTTTATTTTACTTTGGGAATATAGCCTAAGAAACCCCAAAACACCAATCGGAAAAAATGTATGCACCTCTATGTTCATAGCAGTACAATTTACAATAGTTAAGGTATAGAAACAGCCCAAGTGCACATCAGTAGATGAATGAATAAAAAAGCTGCGGTACGTTTATGCTATGGAATACTATGCAGCAATAAAAAAAGAAGAATGTCTTGCCCTTTGAGATAGCATGGAGAAACCTGGAGAATATCATACCAAGTGAAATAAGTCAGAGAAAGACAAGTATCCCATAATCTCACTCATATTTGGAATCTAACAAACTGATGAATGGAGTGGATCCAGAGACATGAATGTATGGAACAGAGTGCAGAATCCAGGGGGAAGATGGGAGGATGGGTGGGTGGGATGTAATCAAAGACCTTGTATGCATATATACATACAGACAATAGGTTGCTGAAGGCCTGGGGTGGGGGTGGGTGTTGCAGAGGTGGGCTGGAGGGGGTCAGTGGTGGAAAAATGGGGATATGTAATACTTTCAACAATAAGGATTAAAATTTATTCTACTTCGAAGAAAAACATGACTTTAAAAAGGTAATGATTTATATAAATTATATTGATTCTATTTTAAGCAAAGAGTTCAGAGATTTTCAGTAACCTTTAAAAGTGATGGCTTTAAATCTGTAGAATTGAAAAGCTAAATTTATTATTTGTCATGACTCAAAATAAAAGCTGTACCATTGGATAGGCACAAGAGTATTGAGCTTGAGCTTAGTGGACTGCATTCTTTTGGTTTGTTTTTCCCATATCAGATCACTATCAAAATATATGTAATACTTCTTATAGTTTGCTCTTCTAGAAAATTGTACTGTTCCCTCATTCAGAATTTCTCATCTTTTATGCCTAAAACTGTATACCGAGCTTATAGAAATTAGGTCTGTCATATTTTTTAGAACAAGGAGTACCAAAGTGTTTTTTTACATAGAGATGAAAATCTTACTACCACACACACACAAAAAAAAGCTAGATTAGTTGCTTAAGGTACTTATAAATCGATAAATAGTAGCCTTCCACATTTTGACACATCTTTCCTCAAGACATTAAAAAAAATTTTTTTGAAGTAGTTTTTGATTCCCAAAATGTTAAAGTATTGGAGTTCTATCACTGGTTTTCCCCAAATGATAACATTTTACATAACCATAATAAAATTAGTATCAAGACTAGGAAATTTACTTTGGTATACTTTTACATAAAAATGCAGGCCTTATTTGGATTTCACCAGTCTTATCTCTTTAAAAATTGAATAGACTTTATTTAGACTTATTGACAATATATTTTATGTTCCATCTATGTTATTTATTGCAGTTCTAAGTTGATAGCAAAATTAAGTGGAAATTTCAATTTCTATACAGTCTCTACTCCTGAATTGTACAACATCCCCTACTATCAACATCCCCACCAGGTGGTACACTTGTTACATTCAATGAACCTACATTGATACATTATTATCACTTAAAGTCCATAATGTACATTATATTCAGTGTTGTACATTCTGTGGGTTTTGACAAATAATGACATGTATTCATCACACAAAAATAGTTTCATTGCCCTAAAAATCCTCAGTGTTTTGTTCATTCCTCTTACCCCAATCTCAGGCAACCACTGGCTTTTAATTGTCTCCATAGTTGCCTTTTCCAGAGGGTTATATATTTAGATCGTTTAGTATAATATGTAAACTCTTCAGATTGCTCCCCCCCCCCCCCTCCCACCACATAGGTATTTGCATTTAGTTTCCTCCCTGTCTTTTCATAGGTTGACAGCTTATTTCGTTTAAGTGCTGAATAACAGTCCATTGTCTGAACACACCCAGTTTATCTAACTCAGTTACGGGCAAGTTAGTTGCTTCCCAGTTTTGGCAATTATGAATAAAGCTGCTTTAAACACATTCATGTGCAAGTTTTTCTATGAACATAAGTTTTCAATTCATTTGGGTAAATACCAAGTAGTGCAATTGCTGGATTATATGTTGAGCATGTTTAAGTTTCTTAGACAATTTCTTCCAGAATAGTTGTACCATGTTGCCTTCCTACCAGCAATAAGTGAGTTCCTGCTCCTCCACTCTTGGTGGTGTCAGTGGTTTGGATTTGCTCCATTCTTAATAGGTACCAGTATGTGGTTGTACCTCATTTTAATTTGCAATTCCCTAATGACATATAATAATCATAATTTAAATGCTTACTTGCCATCTGTATATCTTTGGTGAGTTGCCTGAAGGTCCATTGTTATTTTAAAATTGACTTCATTTTCTTATTATTGAGTTTTAAAAGTTCTTTGAATATTTTAGACAATAGTTCTTTTTCAAATGGGTCTTCTGCAAATATTTTCTTCCAGTCTGTGGGTTGTCTTGTTCATCTGACATTGCATTTTGCAGAGTAGAAGTTTTTAATTTTAATAGAGTCCAGTTTATCAATTTCTTTTATAGATTGTACCTTATGTTGTATCTAAGAAGTCATACCCAAGGTCATCTAGGTTTTCTCTTAAGTTATCTTCTAGGAGTTCTATAATTATGTGTTTTGTCTTCAGGACTGTGATCCATTTTGAGTTATCAATAATTTTTATAAAGGATGTAATGTCTTTCTGGATTCATTGTTTTGAATGTGGATGTCCAGTTGTTCCAGCACCGCTTACTGAAAAGACGATCTTTGCTTCATTGTATTGCCTTTGCTCCTTTATTGATTACCAGTTGACTGTGTGGTTCTATTTCTAGGCTCTATTCTGTTCCACTGATGTATTTTTCCATTCTTTTGTCAATACCATACTGTCTGGATCACTGTAGCTTTATATAGGGTCATTTTGGTTTTCCAAGAGGCATGAGCTACCTGGCTTCATAATACAATTGGGGCTTTTAAAGGCTATCCTAATGAGGTTTTTGTTTGTTTTGTTTTAAAGAATTTATGTGTAAAACGAAATGGTTTTTTTCTCATCTTAAGTTAGGTAAATATTGAAAAATAGAGGCAACTTTGATATAATTTATTTTTTCTTTTATTCTGCTTAGTGCTTTGGAATGTTGTCATTAAGTATAAAATGTATTAGTACTGAGGTCAGTAATTCCATATATATATATATATATATAATGTATACACACACATATATATACACACATATATACAGTATATGTTTTAAATATTTAAATACAGATTTGCTCCATAAAAACTGTTTAGTTAATAATTTTTGCCATAACATTTAAAAAATATTTTTATTGATTTCAGAGAGGAAGAGAGAGGGAGACAGAAACATCAGTGATGAGAGACATAGATTGGATGCTTCCTACATGCACACCAAGCAGGGGCCAGCCTGCAACTGAGATACATGTGCCTGACCAGAATCGAACCCGGGACCCTTCAGTCCGCAGGCCAAGGCTCTATCTACTGAACCAAACAGCCTAGGGCTTTGCCATAACAATTTTTGAAAAGTTATATCACTTTTCAGATAATCATCATTTTTTTCTCCTTGAGTCTAAAGACTTTTCTTACTCCAAAGTACACTAAACAAGTATGCAATAAAAAATTTCTTTCTTAGACAAAAACTTATTTGTTTACTTGACACTTTCTATGCAGTGTCATATACACTTGAATTGTACATCAGATTATTTTGCTTTCATAATTTTGTCAAATGAGAGGAATGAAGAGGTTGCATCTTCTGGGATTTCAGTGTTATGTACAGATGCCATTTCAATGTGTTTTGAAGTACCCTAAAGGTGTTATAACTTAATTTTAAGTGCAGTTTGAATGCAAGATAGCCATTACTACCCCAAAAGTCTGGAAAATTGATCAGGGAAAATGGTATAGAAAGCAGAATTTATCTTTCCTAAGAAAGATTCCTTTATACCTCTTCTCCATCAAACCACCACCTCCTATCAAGCTTTCCTCCTTGGCAAGTTCAGTAAACCTTTACAGTATATTTTATGGACAATCAATATTGTTAATTACCTATAAAATTGTTCTTAGTCAATTGATCCTGTTTTGGCCATCTTGGGATATAACATATTATAAGGTACCCTATTAAAGTTAATGGAAAAGATTTCCATTTAAAGCCTTTTACTTAAAGGCAGTGCTTTCAGGGATAAATTATAAACATTAAATGAGGAATAGATATGTACTTACTCCTTTCCCCCCACCTTTAAAAAAAAATATTGTGGCTGTCACTCTATAATAGTATGTTTAATGAGTTATAATTAATATGATATTGATGTTCTCAGAATGTTATTTTTTTTTTATCAATGAGGATTTGGATTTGGTTAAAGGATTTCAGATAAAAATTAACACCAGTTTTGTTTTATATGACTTCAAATTGATACATATTGAAGTATTTTAAGAGTTAAGACTATTCTCTACCTGAAAATAATACAAAATAATATTGGATATAAACTGTAATTGAAGAAAAAAACTATCCTCAAAGAAGTTTATTAGCAATATGGCTATACTTTGAATTAATTTAATCTTAGTTCTATGCTTAGAATAAAATAGGTGCTATGCCAATCAATGTCCATTGCACTAGAATAAAAGGTGATAATTGGAAGTCAAATGAGGTAACAGTGCTTTAGTTTTAGGTTTCATTTTTATGATGAGCTTAAAAATGTTTTAGTTATAGAATTATAAATATCATAACTGGGATGAAAGTTTCAGATACAAGATATAAAATTCACACAGCCATATTTTAGCCTTCAAAAAGTCTATAATAGAAAACTTACCAGCATTTTGTAGATGTGAGAGCGCAAGGGATTTTTTCAAGTTCCCACAAAAATTAATAAAACTGAAACAAAAACCCAAGTATGTTGACTCTAGCATTTATTTTCTTGAATAAATGACTATTTTGACCTCTGCTTTTTCTTCACATCTGAGGTCATTTTTCTCTTCTTTTCTTCTAGGCAGTATTGAATGCCCGTTCAAAAAAGCAATTTGAAAATAAAAATTTTGTAACAAAAGTTATTTAAGCCCATAATTATTTCATAGTTAAATCAGTAGTTACAGCCCTTTGCCACATGAGGTCATTATATACCTGATTCTTTCCTCTGCTCTGGCTATCATCCAAGCATCATTATTTTGATGTGAAATGTTTAGAAAAGGATCTGATAAGAGGTTTTTCACATTGCCAGAGCAAAAGCATTAATTGATAAATAAATTATTGGCATTTCATGTGTGCAGATGCGGTGGGGTCAGGAGGTAGATAAAATGAGCTGGTGGGTTAAATGTAGGCAATCAAAAGGACAGTGTTTGTACAAGCCAGGCGGGGGCTGGCGGTCCTTGGAGCAGGAGAAAAAAAGACCCTGACCATTTATCCCTTGGGAACCTCACCATAGGCTCATGGCCTCTCTTCAAATGGAAAGAAACTCAACTCAAGAAAAGAGTCCTAACTCCCCAGCTCCTCCTCCTCCTCCCACCTCCAAGGAGATCTTGCAGATTGTGCCAAAAAGCAGCTCCAACCCCAGTGACTGGGGGAGAGCCAGAAGCTGTTCTTCCTTTCCATCCTGCCCCTCCCAACTCCTGCCAATACCGTGAAGCCCCTTCCTGCCCAGCCTGGTTTCCTGGTGAGGGTCCTGCAGTGAAGGGCCCAGGGAACGGTCCTCAGGAGGGAAGAAACTAAGGGCATCCTTGGGCCAAACTGTCTGCCTCTCCTGTCCACTGTTCTCTTCTGCTCACTCCTGTCTTTAAAGGTTCCTTCCCAGGATGGATTGGGTGCTAGGCTGACTGTGGTCCAACCCACCAGCTCTCCCTGCCCCTGACTCTTATTTCAGACATGAGAATAACTGTGCAGTGAAAACTTATAAACGGTTTTTAATGGTTGTGGATTGGAAACAGTTAAAAAAAAAAAAAGGTAGTGTTTTTAGAATTATTTTACTATAAAAAAGTCTACTACATAATTCCCAGCTGCTTCTTTAGCTATTAGATTGAATAATTCCAATTTGTTTTGTTTTATGGGGTAGTATTTGGTTAGATAATTATGCTTAACAGGTTGCCAGGAAATTTGATTAAAAAAAAAAAAAAGGAATGTTTCATGAATTTGCCTATCATCCTTGCTCAGGGGCCATGCTAATCTCTGTGTCATTCCGATTTCTAGTGTATATGCTGCCGAAGGGAGCACGAAATTTGATTTTCTAATGTTTCCTCAGTAGACTTTAAGGGCTGTTTTGTAAGACTTTGGCATTTACTTAGCAATTATATATACAAAGGAGCTTCCAGTTAATTTTACTATTCTGTGGAACTTCGTGGAGCTCTGACAGATGATTATTTGTCCAAGAAGAAAGGTTTACTTAACAAAAACATGGCCTAGAGAGTGACTCAGTAGCAGCGGTAGGTGGAACTTGATCTTCGATCTAACCACCTTCCGAAACATTCCCCCTTTAAATGTTAGTTGGCATCACTTTAACATGGTGCCGACGCTGGTGCTTTGGCGATGTTGAATATATTGATACTTAACTGTGTATGTACTGTTTTTACTGTTACCCCTTGTTTACACTAATAGGATTTAGTCAAAGGTAATGCATCCCTTCAAGCTGCCATTCTTGCCCCTGCTGTTACTGTCAGCTAGAGCAGAATCATTTTGTATTAAAGACTAAATTTGAAAAATTGGCTCATGTTGTAAAAACAATTTATGTTACCGTTGGCTCAGCAACACTATGTTGGTACGTTATACAGTGCTTAGGATGCTAGCTATCAAATCCCTGGCGTGGGAACAGAAGAGTCAATATAGACATCAGTTATTATTTTGGGATGGCTGACATGAACTGGCTGCTGGATTAGTAACTGAAATAAACCTGTTAAATATGGTAATTGACTTTTAGCAGACTAACTTTAAACAGACAATTAAGTTTTATCCTTTTCAGAATAGTTACCTTAGAGGCTACACATTTATTCCAAAGAACCTGCAAGTATTTTTTTAAAAAAACTCTTGCATCTGAGTTTAGAGCCTGAGTCATATATTTTTAAAATGTGATTCAGGTTCTTTTTGTGTGTGTGACTGGTATAGTGCTTTTTGAATGACCATAAATCAGTTGGTGACAAGTCTAGACAGTAAAATGGATAGTAAAACTTGAAAAAAAAAAAACACCTGCTTTTGGCCACAAAAGAAGGTAACAGTACAGAACTTAGATAGCTTTTCCTATTCAGCTTATGAAATATATATGAAGGAAATTCATGTGTGTGTGTTTTTACTAATTCAAATACTTTTGCCTAATGGCAGACTCTAAATTGAACGTAAAATCTCTTGATACAGTTTCTTTGAAAGCATTACTAAGTATACAAGGCTCTGCTATAATTAAAAACACCAAAACAGTGTGTTCTATTATACATCTGGTATGTATCAATAGTCATTGTTAAGGAAGAATTTATCTTTAATATTTTTAACATCACAGAGGCAGTAGAGAATCAGAACACAGGCTTGGAAGACAGACTGCTGGCTTCAAATCCTAGCCTTGCCACTTACTGTTTAACTTTGGGCAAGTCATTATAACCTCAGGCAAATAATATGTTTCAATTTCTTTATCTCTAAGAAGGGCCATAAGTTACAGTACCTACCTATAAAGTTATGCAATTTTAATATTTAGTAAATATATGAAGCATTTGAAACAATGCTCAATAAATATTAGCCATTATTATTAGTACTATTATTATCTCTCAGTCAATGTATCGGTTGCTGATAGCTAATGCAGTTATTAAAAAGAATGAATTTTGTAGAACTATAGTAGGGTGCCCACTGTATTGTTTAAGTAGTTATGGTATGATATCTCTTTTTTCTCTCTTTTCTCTATCTCTGTTGTATACAGAGAGATTCACCAAACTTCATGTGGTTACTTCTGGTGAGTGGGATTGAAGTGGTGATTAAGATTCTTGGGAAAATATCTTCGGTATAAAAATAAAAAATTAGGAAATTGATTTAATACTAAATTTATTCACTCAGCAGATATTTATTGATCTACTACATGCCAAGACTGGTGAAGGAACATCTAAGTTGTTAGAAATTATTCTTCTTTTTGAGAAAATTTAAAGCTACATATAAAGGAAATTAGATTCCTATCCAAGTTCTTAGCATTTTCCTTTATTTTTATTTTCTGTACTTTTATTTTTTGAGTGGTGCTGAGTTTGTGGTATTTCCATTAATGTTTCAGAAAATTATAATTTTTAATTTGTAAATGTTCTAATTTTAAAAATATAAAAGTAGCCCTAACCAGTTCGGCACAGGGAATGGAGCATCGGCCTGCGGACTGAAAGTTCCCAGGTTCGATTCCAGTCAAGGGCATGTACCTTGGTTGCAGGCACATCCCCAGTAGGAGGTGTGCAGGAGACAGTTGATCAATGTTTCTCTCTCATCGATGTTTCTAATTCTCTCTCCCTCCCCGTTCCTCTCTGTAAAAAATCAATAAAATATATTTAAAAAAAAAAAGTAGCTTTATTGTTTTCTGATTATAAAATAATAAATATTTGTTATGGAAAAGCCAAAGGAGAATTTGATGCTTGATATTTCTAAAACCAAGAGACTTCTTTCTTGTGGGAAGTAGACATAAACTCATTTTAACAGGCTATGGTTGTTATCTTTTGTTTTTAAGCAATACATAGAATCTTTGTACCTCTTCCTAGAAGATAGGTTACAACAAAGAATTCTCCGTATCTGTAAATAGTCTTGTTAGGAATATAGGTAGATGTGAGTGTGTGTGTGTGTGTGTGTGTGTGTGTGTGTGAGAGAGAGAGAGAGAGAGAGAGAGAGAGAGAGAGAGAGACAAATGTGGACTTTCAAGACAGATTGGTCTTTTTTTCATCTGGATGGCCTTGGGCAAGCTTCAAGTTCTATGAACTTCAGGAACCAATAACACATAATCTGTGAAAGAATTTCTTAAATTATAAACATACAAATGTTAATAGTTATTATTCAAGGATTACCAAAAAAGAAAAATAAAAGGTAAAGGTAGTTTTTCTTGTATACCCTCCCCTGAGAATATATATTTTTATTGGTTTTTAGAGAGAGGAAGGAAAAGAGGAGAAACATTTATGTGAGAGAGAAAGATCAATTGGTTGCCTCTGTGCCCTGACTGGGAATTGAACCTATAACCTTTTGGTGTATGGGACTACGCTCCCACCTACTGAGCCACACTAGCCAGGGCCAACGGCAGTTTTTGATTCCAGCAAGTTTTTGATTCCAGGTCAGATTTTTTTTTTTTGAATATGGAAATTGGGTATTTTGTATGGCTTTTTAGAATAAATCCTTGGTCTTACATTGTAAGCTTGGTCTTACACCTAGTAGTAAAGTAAAATAATTTTGTCTTCTAGGAAGAGTTGTGGGCATATTGCTCTATTTAAATTTGTGATTATGAAGTAAGTAATGTTAAGTGCTCAATAAGTATTTTCTATGTTTGTAATTGTATTGGTATTTCTAATATGTGTATAAATTTTAGTAAAATTATATTAGAAAATTCATGTAAAGGCAGTTCTATTGTAAGTCATTAATCATTTTACATAACTGCATATTTAAGATGAAATTCATTGTCTCATATCTGTTCCAGATTTGGTATTTTCCTCCATGTTCAAAAGAGTTTGAGAAAAATTTACATTGTAAGCTTGGTCTTACAATTAGTAGTAATGTAAAATAATTTTGTCTCCTAGGAAGAGCTGTGGATATATTGCTCTATTTAAATTTGTGATTATGAAGTAAATAATATATAAAAGAAAAAATCCATTAGAATTTAGAAATAAAAATATTTTAGAGTTCTAACTAATTTGTAAAGAAAGTTCAGGGAGCACTTGTGAAGTGCTTTATTGTTTGCACAGGACCTTTGCATACTTAATCATTTGATCCTCATGATAACCCTGAGGGAAGTAGTTGTATTCATTTTTACAGATGAGAAAACTAAGGCCCACAGAGGTCACAATTTACATGTGATAGAGCCAGACTTTCAACAAGAAACCTGATCACTGGATAGGATTCTAGAGAAAAGATGCCTACACAGGAAGGAATCATGTAAAGACCCTACGAGGTTCTTTTGAATCCCCCTTTCTGTGATTTCTATAGTTTGAGTAGAAGCAGCATGGTGTAGTGGGAAACACACGAGAAGACCTGGATTTACTACATCCTTGCCTTGAGCAAATAATTCAGCCTTTCTGAACCTCAGTTCTTCCTCTGTGAAACAGGATAACATTTTAATAACTTGCAGTGTTATTGAAACAAAATGAGCCAATTTAGAAAAGAGCCAGGCTCTTAACTGCTCAACGATAGAGGTAATGTTAGTGTGTATAAAATCCAAATACAGAAATCCTCCCAACATAATACAGTTGTCATATAGCTCACAAGAGCCCTATCTTTAAAGATGACTGTAGTGCTACTAATCAGTAACTTTTTATGAATGAGGGAAATGAATGAATTTGTTGAAGATGTTAAAGCAGAAAAGTGAATTGCATAGAATGAAATCCATAGATAACATTTTGAAGTGGAAACCAAAATCACAATTAAAGGCAAAACAGTTGGATGGGAGAATAATGCCAGTGTGTGTTTCTCAGTATCTTGAAGGGTTAGGAATCTGGAGAAGGCGTGGTGTGTAAATTATTAGAGTCCAGAGATGATATAATTTTGGAAGGCATTTTGGGGAACCAGAGAAAACTTAGCTAAAGAAACCAAGTTCTGTCTCTCTGGACCCCTTGCTTTTTATTAACATAAATTGTCATCAGGCAAAGCAGATATTACATCAAAGGCCAAGGTTTAGTATACAGAGGCATTGTTGGATTGAAGGAACTGCCTTTGGCTGTTCAGATGTTTGGCCAGTAGGAGGCAATAACATGTAGATTAAGATGTCCTCAGCTATCTGGCAGCCAGCAATCATTTATGCATCCTTTTCAGGTTTAGGGAAATGCCCTTAGCCATTTCCAACAGGCAAAAACAAATGTGATTCAACCAAGTTCCATCAACCTTTTGATGAACCTCTTGCACTTATGACATGCTGGTATTGGCTTCAGGCAGAAGAATACAGCAGGAGTAAGGAATAGCCCATGCCATACCTCAGTAGGAGAGATTGCAAGAATCACTTGGCTAAATGGTGGGCAATTGTTTCAGGACCAACAGCATAACAGAGAAGCTGGGTTCGGGGAATAGAAAGTTTC